ATCTTCAGCAGATTGCATCGTGCAATCGTGGCCCACAACAGCCAGAGTCCCAATAGAAATCCTCGGCGTGCTGCGGTGAGGGGCACCATGGTTGGTCTCATCCATCTAAGTCCCAAAGGCCCCCCTTCTGTGATCCAAGAAGGTTTCTGGGATGGCCCTGTTCCATGGCTTATGATCCCTCCAGGTCGCTTCGGCTAATGTCCCAGTCACCCTCCACCATGGTTCCCAGAGTGAAGACCACTGGTATGTGGCCCACCAAGCCTAAGTGACAACAAAGGCTGGGAATGGCTGTGGTTTCGGCAGTTTCTAGCTGCATGGAACCCCAGCATTTTGCCAATTGTGGGGCTCCCACCATGAAAAGGTCGAGGCTGTGCCGGTGTTTAGAAGTTACCCAACAAATCCATACGAAATCTCTCCCACTCTGGTAATCTACATAATACATCATAATACCAAATCCATCCCAATCCATACAAATCTCCCAAAAATTTCCTGCTAAAAATCGTGATTTCCATGGATTTCCCATGATTCCCCTCGGGTACTGCACACCAAGAGACCCATATCCGAGATGAAGGGCATGTACGCCCGACAGCCCTTCAGGAGCCACATGAGGTAACCATATCCCAGCACAGCACTCCACCAGACCCATGCCACCCAAAGCACCCGCCTCAACGAAACACTTTGGTGAGCAAAAACACACAAACTACAGACAAAAATACACTGCGTAAGCGTGCTTTTAACTCCCTGGCGGTCACGGAATATCACGGCACTTTGAAGTCTACCGCTTCTCATTGGATGTTTGAAACTACTTGTTATCCAACATCTAATATTTCTGCTGATACCATCAACGCACTCCCAAAGAAAAGCAAGCTTCACTTGCACGTCCATGAGGAAGGCCGCGGTTCTCTACCCAAAAAATGGGAGGATGAACTATGGGAGCCACCTGCAACTTTGATAGGGATATGACATGACCCCATATGTGTTCCCGAAATTCCCACGTCTGTTGGTGACATGTTACAATGATTTTTACATCGGTCTCTATTTGTGGTTTCCATCCTATTGTGTTTCCCCCCATTTCAGAAATTGGATCTTGGATGATCTTGAGTTTTCCCCCCAGTGTCCTTCCTTTTTTCAGATGTTTTGCTTGTTATTTTTTTGTGATACAGGGAGATGTTTCTCATGTCTCCGTGTTGTTGCGACACGGTGATTTCTTGCCAATGTCCATTTGCATACCATGTGGCACCAATGCTTTGAAGATTTGCCATGTATCACATTTTACTTTGACGAATTTGAATTTCATCTGATGTTTTATGCGTCTTTGTCCAGCCTCAAGGTTTAGGCCGGCGCTGAAGGGTTCGCCCGGTCATCGATGGGTCTTGAGGATTGAGGTCAGGAAAAAGGCTGTCAGAGTCCGTGCTGCCTTTGGTTTCTCAAGATATGTGATACAGTTGGTATTATCTCCGGCTTCTTGTGTTTGACGTGCACAGCGATTGCAGCGGTATGCCATCTATCCCCATGATTTCTTCATCCTCTTCGAAGTCTCCTCATTCCAGGGTGCTTCACTCGGCCGTACCTGTCAGAAAACTCGAAGGTCTTTCTCCTTTGGACTTTCTTCATCATGCTGCGTCCCTTTTGCACCTGGGTTTGCAAAATTCACTTACATATCACTATTCCGTCCATGATTTTGGAGTTGATGTTTGCTCCATGCTTTTGGAAGAAGCGCGTGCAGGTCTAGGAAAAGCTTCGCTTCCACAAGATCTATGGCCAAAACTGGATTCGTCTGGGAGATTTCTCCTCTTTTGGTTTTTCCCAAACTTTGGCGTCAAAATCATGACAAGCAAGGTGGCTTGACCTGTAGATTTTTTGAACATTTACAAGGTGCTATGCGTCCTCAATACCGTGAAGGTTACAAACTTCGGTACAGATTGAGCAGGAAAACACCTCTCTGGTCTAGCATGTTTTTGATTTTGCTCACAGATCCTGAACATTGACCTGTGGCTGTTGGAGAGAATCTTGCAAGATCTTGAGACGAGAACCTCGCAAGAGCACCCCAGAAGAGCTTCGATACCAGCACCTTTAATAATTGCATGGCACCTGCAAGATCTTCATGCAAGGAGAGAGGACTTCACCAGGATCTCCACATGATGTTCTAATGAGAACCTCTGCAAGATCATGCAAGGACCTCTTAGAAGATGCCAGCAGGATCTTCAAGATCTCCTCATATGGACCTGTACAAGATCATGTAAGGACAAGAGACATACCTGGTTAGCGGAAGATTTGCTACGCGCTTTCTGTCCGGCAATGTCTGCGTGTCTGGTGTCAGTCTGTCAGACCGTTTTCGACATGGACGGCTTGCCGATCGGTGGACTAATGTCAAAGTGTGCAGCGTGCATTACCCTGGGAGGTCAAGAACGGCGTTGGAAATGTTCTAATGAGATACGTGCGCGAGCAGGTTTCTACAGCAAATGCAGCTAGAATCGAGCCGTATGTCATATCCGCTACATTGATGATGTCATCCTTGTCAGCCAAATGTTTTGCAGACAGTGTCTCGTGGATTCCCTGAGCATCATTTACAATGTCTCTTTTGACGTGTCTGACGACGGTCTTTGTATCAAGTGGTTGGCTTTGAGCTTGGATTTAAACACATGTTGCTTGGGGCTCAACATCAAACCGTTGGCTTTGCCTCCGCACTGGAGTCTGTCAAAAACATTTTTACGGAATATTTTGCTGAGCCGGTTTAAACGCTGGAGTGAGAGTGAGCCCAAAGTGCAATCTTACCGTCGCTTTTGCAAGCACGACTCGACGACTCGCCGGATGGTCAAGTACACAAGTTTCATCCGCCTTATTCTCAATCCATAATGTTGCGTTTACTCCCTATGTCCTATGTCTTTTTTGCTCAATGTGCTTGGAACACCATTAGGAAGGAAGTGCCGCCGGACAACGCTCAATAGTGCAACTTGGAAGTGCTCCCTGGCACTGTGGTTGACCATGTTTCCGTTGTTTAGCCGGTTGCTGGTTTTGCAATCTTCCTGCGCCTTTGCAGGATGGAGTGATGGAAAAGGATGGAAAAGGGTCTTCTTGGCATAGGAACCGTTCTTGGAATGGCTTTGGGCAATCCTGGCATCGCCATGGAAAAGGAGGCAGCAAAGGCGGCTTCACTCCTGGCAATGTCCCCATGTCCGATGCCTTGTCCCTGATCGTTGATGTGATCAGGACCGCTCAAACAGGAAGAGAAGCAAACATGCTCGGTCTGCGTCTGTGTCCAGTGACTCGTCCCGTGACAGTCGCCGACGGCTCAAGGAGCTTCGCAAATTTTGTGAAGATGCCCAAGCTGCGGCGGAAGCCAGGAAACAAGCAGAGAAAGAAAAGCGTGAAAAAGAAGAGAGGGAGGCAAAATTCAAAGCCTTGGAAGAGAAGGTTTTGAATTCTTTGCCGCAAGATCTCAAAGACAAAAGAGCTCCACCAGCACGTGCCTATGGTGAAAAAGTTGCTCCCGATCCTCATTCTGACATTTCGGCTTTGGCTGCTAGGCTGCTTGAAGTCTTGTTTGGCAAACAAGTGAGTTGTCAAGGGGTCACTAGCTGGAAGGATGTGAAACAGCGCCTCACTTCTCTGGATGCCAAAGTTTTGCGTGGATTCCCAGATGATGCTGTGCCCCGGGTCAAAGCTCAGCGAGTGGCCAAACCCATGGAGCTTGCCATGTCCGAATGCAGTGTTTGAACGGACCGCTCACATCAAGGGGGCTTGCGCCTGCCTTGGCAAAAAACAAGCCCACAAACGATGGTATGCCTTGTTCTCCTCCTCTGTGCATGTGCTTCTTTTGTGGTTTTGGTGCCGGCTGGTATTGCTGCGCCAGTCAGCTACCTGAGCCATTCTTTGGGATTTTCAGCTATGTACATGCCATCAAGATTATCACTTGGGACTATGCTGGAACAACCCAAGCAATCCAACGAATCACCGGAATCCCCACTTACTCTGCATCTATCGGAATAGTTTTGGTTGGAGGTGGTACCATTTGGAAGGGACTAAACTTTGTTTTGGACACATCTTTGGACAGTGCCTTGCCGGCATTCTGTCAACAATCAACTTCTTTGGTGGCAGCAGAGTGAGCGGATTCCTTGACGTTTTCCCTGCATCCTATGGAATTTGTGACTGCCAACTGCTTCCGCATCTAGCATGGTTTTCTTCCATAGAATGGGTGGGTTGCAAGCAGTTGTATTTTTTTTTGCCCACCCGGGCGAATTTTTGCATGGGAGATGTTTCTCATGTCTCCGTGTTGTTGCGACACGGTGATGTCTTGCCAATTTCCTTTTGCATACCATGTGGCACCAATGCTTTGATGATTTGCCATGTATCACATTTTACTTTGGCGAATTTGAATTTCATCTGATGTTTTTTGCGTATTTGTCCAGCCTCAAGGTTTAGGCCGGCGCTTAAGGGTTCGCCCGCACATCGATGGGTCTTGCGGATTGAGGTCAGGAAAAAGGCTGTCAGAGTCGGTGCTGCCTTTGGTTTCTCAAGATATATGAGATATTGTACTAAGCGTTTTGTCTTTGAACACCACTGTTATCATCAACATCATCTTGATCTGTGGGTGTTCGGGGTGCGGTGCGGAGGGTTGGGGGCTCGGGCTAGGGGCGGGAGTGGGTCCTCATGAGGTTTCGTGCCATTTGCACCGAACACTGCGAGAATTGTGAATTCTTTGACGTGTCCAAATCGAAATGTTTGTTTCGTCAAGGCCTCACACGGCCGTTTTACCATGTTTTTGGGATCTTTTAGGGAAATGTTTGTGCCACACTAAACCCACAACCGCATCGCAAGCTTCACCACGTTTTCAGCAGGCCTCTGTGGCTCCTTGATCCCTAAAGGTGTCCCAACGTCGAAGAAGTTTCGCTCCGACCAATCGAAACCTGGGCATTGAGGTCGCTCCTCAAAATTAGATATGTAAAATAATTAGGGGTGTCATACTAGCTAGGTTGATGGGATTTTAATGGATTTCAAGTATATAATCGATCACATATATACATATATATATATATATATTTGTATATATATATATGTGCACTGATATATGCATGTATTTACTGCATGATACTAACATCATATATGTATTTTTAAACACCACCTGGAAACAGGAAGCGTTTTTTGAAAATGACACCCATGGTGATATTCCTTTGAAGATTTGAAGACTGGAGGTTCTCCAAACAAGCCGTGACTTCCGGCTGTTTTGAAGCTGATTTCTGATGGGGAAACCCCAAGATTGACCGTATTTTAACCATCATCTATCTGTAGTGAGGTTGTGTCAGGTCGCGACACAATTCATCCAAGACAGAGTAAACAGGGTTCTATATGTTTTCCCCCAAAGCTCCTGCGGAATGTTTTTCCCAAAGAACTGGTGCCAAGATCAACTTTTCACTTCATCTACATAACATCTCCTACATCCTTTACATCATCTAAATCAATTTCATCTCCATCACCTCCTACATCTCTCCTACACCCTTTACATCACCTGTATACATCATCTACATCAATTTCATCCACGTCACACACATCAAGTACATCATCTACATCAACGTCAATAAACTATAAACTTCATCTACATCACATAATACATCATCTACATCAACTTCATCTACAGGCGCTCAACGTCTACATATCTCCTACAAAATTCCCATAATGTCATCTGCAGTTGCACAGGAGTTGTTACACAAGGGTTCTTACAGTTTTTGCACAGGAGTTCTTTCACAGGAATTGTTAGACAGGAGTTCTCACACAGGAGTTAACTTCATCGGAGTTAACTTCTAGTCCGACAAAACTCCTACTTCTCCAGTTCTTCTAAATTCTCTCGTTAGGCGGGAGGGGCAGCTCGGCCGATGGAAACACGACCCTCAACGGAGATCGTGCATGTCAGAAGCACAAACGTATGGTGAAAATTTCTGTTTCCGGCGCAACCCTCTGCGGAAATCGTGCGAGTCCTGTAGTGAAATGCGAATTTTCTGGGCGACGGCGTCGCCCTTTCGCATGAAATGAGGTTCGAATGTCAAAAACTCGTGTAAAATATAATTGCAATTTTGAAAGATGAGATGCAACCCTTTCGCACAAATAAAGGTCGAACGTCGAAAGCTGGTGCAATATTGAAATTTTGAACCTTCAGATACAAGTCTGTGTCAAGACTTATTTGTGTAAAAGCTTCTGTCTGTGAAAAGCTCCTCTGTGTAAAAGCTTCTGCGTGTAAAAGCTCCTCTGTGTAAAGACTTCTCTGTGTAGAAGCTTCTCTGTGTAAAAGTTTCTGCGTGTAAAAGCTCTTCTGTGTAAAGACTTCTCTGCGTAAAAGCTCCTCTGTGTAAAAGCTTCTGCGTGTAAAAGCTCCTCTGTGTACAGACTTCTCTGTGTAAAAGCTGCTCTGTGCAAAAGCTCCTCTATGCAAAGACTTCTTTGTGTAAAGGCTTTTGTGTGTAAAAACTCCTCTGCGTAAAGACTGCTCTGTGTAAAGGCTTCTCTGCACAAAAGCTTCTGTGTGTAAAAGCTCTTCTGTGTAAAGATTTCTCTGTGTAAATACTTCTCTGTGCAACAGCTCCTCTGTGCAAAAGCGTCTGTGTAAAAGCTCCTCTGTGTAAAGACTTCTCTGTGTAAAAGCTTCTGTGTGAAAAGCTTCGGTGCGTAAAAGCTTCTGTGTGTAAAAGATCTTCTGTGCAAAGACGTCCCTGCGTAAAAGCTTCTGTGTGTAAAAGATCTTCTGTGCAAAGACGTCCCTGCGTAAAAGCTTTTGTGTGTAAAAGCTCCTCTATGTAAAGACTTCTGCTTCTGTGTGTAAAAACTGTTGTGTTTAAGTTTAAAAGCTTCTGTGCGCGCGTGTGTTTGTAAAGCGTCTGTGTTTAAATGCTTCTATGCATGCATTTTACATACATATATTCATTATACCCCATATAATATATGTGTATGTATATATATATATGGCCATATATATATATACACATATATATAGACACATATATATATATATACATTCATTCATTCATTCATTACTTCATGTCTACTCAGTATACATTCATTAGTCATTATGCAACAACTTCATTCATCATTCATTATCTTTCATCATCATTTATCATCCGTCATGTTCACATCTTCTTTTCCATCTTGTTTTGATCTACTCCCTCCTGCTCTTCCCTTTCGGGCCACACTGTCATCTAGTCTCTAGACACATTTTTTGAGGGGTTAACATCAATTAACAACCGAAATGTCATGTATGATACACGAAAATGCTAGATTGGTATGGGCGGTATGGGTAAAATCCTGGTGCCCTTCCCTTCACACCACAATAGCTGCAAATGGGCCTTGATCTGCCTCAAACATGATATACACTTCTACACATCCTCTACATTTGAACAGTGAAGCCAACAGTTGGGCCATACCAAAAAGTAAAATCATCTTATTCACAACTTTTTTCATGTTCCATGTTAAGTCCTTGGTGTGCATCAAGTGGTGAAAAAAATCCTTCCCAACATCAAAGTCTGCCACTCTCCATCTTTCTGCGCAAGCCGCTGCAGCTGGAAACCCTCATTTTACCTCATCTTCACGAAAGGGTGCAACACCATAATCGCCATCACCATGATAGGCTAGGCGCCAAAAGGCAGGCTCCAAACTGAACGTTTTTTTGATGTGAATGCCAGGTTGAGTGCAGACATTTCCTGGAATGACTTCACAAGCATTGGAAGTTAGCTTGAGGTTTGAACCTCCGGTTTTCCGGCTTTCTTAGATCTGTTTCACTGTGACACTGTAAGAGCTTCCAGCCAAATCCTCCACCAAATTTCTATCTGGGGAAAGGGTTTTCAGTCGGCGTGTCGTCGTGCTAGCTAGATCTGTCGTCTAAAATCCTGTTTCTGAGGGATGAAACTGATGATGTTTACTCCTTAGATCACCAAAATGCCAAAGTTCAGAAGCTGGAAAATGGCCGGCACACACGTTGGCATTAAAGCTTGCTCCACCATGGGTCATGTCTGACATGACATATGCTCTCCCTACTCTTGGTGTTGTTTCACAACAGAGAAGATAACATGGAAGAACATGAAGAGAGATCGTCAAAGTTATGATATTCTTTGCCAAACTTTTCCATGGCAATGTCTATCAGAGTCGTGGGTCTTGATGCACCCTGCAAACCAAGAACATGATCCACTTCAAGTTGTTCTTTCCACAAACTCCCAAAAAAGGACAGGATCGATTTTAAATGTGAGCGAAGGTTACAGGAAACCATGTTCTTTGCCATGAAAATCTTGAGAGTTTGACAGGTAAAGTTACAGGAAGTCATGGTTTACGATCAAAATCTAGGAACCATGAACCATAGGGACAAAAGGGACAGGAAACCATGGTCTTGATCCATCACAAATCTAGGGATTTCCTGCCAAAGAAAACCAGTCGTTTCTGCTGAGAGCATCCACTCGCCGCTCCACCTTTTCTTTCTGGGCCACTGCACACCACATCATCATTTAGGCATGGGTCAAAATTGCTTGCGGATGAATGGGATGGACTGACCATTTCTAGTAGTAAAGCTTTGCAGTTGTTGACAGCAGCTCCCCATTTTTATATGTTGCTGAAATTCCATGAAATTCTCATATTCGCTGCTGAAGACATCACAATGGTGGTTTGTTTGTGGTATACCCAGTGATGCTTGCTGTTCCATCATCCCATTTGCGTCCATGTTTTGGGTATATCTACTGCGACTTGTTGTTTGAGAACTCGATAATTTGACCCATCCCTAAGTCCCCATGAATTCGGCGCAGTCTGAGCAGTGGCCGCCCTGGTGCTCCCATCCCCCAAATTAGTTCACTTCTAAGGTGGGCCCGGCCCCCGAAATGAATGGATCCAGCAGGAGTTGTTGCTGAAACACTTGCCATGTGGGCCGGCTATACAACCTCGAAAGAATGTGCAAATACCAGGAAATGACAGAACATGTCTACGTGTTTCATGTTCAACATCATGGTTCATGATGCTTTAATATGCTTGACAAGTATGAATCTGGATAAAATGATGGTAAATGGAAGTTTCCTAAAATGGGGGTACCCCCAAATCATCCTTAAGAGTGAGCAAATATCCGTATTTACCTATATGGTTTATGGTGGTAAATTCACCTAAAAAAGTGACCTCCTCGTGGGTTTCGGCTCAGCTCAGAACTGTGGCCGCCCTTCGCCCTTCTCACAAGCCACGATGGCCGAATTAAAGGTCTGGTCGCCCTTGGTGACGAAAAAAAGTGTGATTTGAGGGGATTTAACCATCAAAAATGTTGATTTAACCATGAATAATTGGGTTTTAACTTACCAAGCATGGTGATTTAACATGATGTAACCATCGCAAGAAGGATGTGGATTTTAATTGACCAAACAATTATTGGGTTTCAACTGGCAATCAATTTACCCTATTTGGGATTTTGTGGGACGGTTAAAGTAGCTTAAACAAAATAACAAAATTGATCCCTGGTTTCAAAGCATCCCAAACATATGCTTGGGCACCTACGCCTCAAGAGACCCATTTCGTATCTAAGCACTATGGCTTTGGGCCCTGATACCACCACTGTTTTTTTTTTGCTTGGAAAGCTCTGAACAACAAAAAAAGGCGGTGTTCAACTCTTCAACCCTTCAAAACGACAATTGGAGCATCAGCATGGAGCCGCGGAGCCCCTCACCCCCCAGCTGGATGATCCTGGAGCTTTGGGATCTGGGTCACTATAAATCCTCCAAGATTGGAGGTTTATTGGGTTTACCACACTGGGTTTAGCACCGTAAGTTCCAGATGTGAAAAAAAGTGGAGATCAGCCCAAACCCCACTTCCATAAGCAAATGATGGCAGTCCAGAGGTATCCTCCAGGAATTCAGGTCCTCATGAGCCAAGGGCTGCAAAGCCCGTGACAGCACATTGGGGGACAAGAAATCACACATCCAGAGTTGTGACAAATAGATACATCCATTGCATAAGGGCTACCACGGACCTAAGATTCACACAACCAATCAAAAACGGCCATGCAAAAATTAGATATAAAGGGAGAATAGTGGCCGAAATCGGAGACACCCCAAGGCTTGGACAGGAAAAAGGATCCCAAACCAAGGACACTGACACTTGCGTGTCTTCTGGTTGTTTGGGTTCCCCTTGACTCCCTCAAACAATCCGGCTCAGCAGTGTTAAACGGAGCTGGACCTTACAATGACTCTGCGACATGGGCAAATAAGATGGCCTGGTCAACACTGCTGAGCTAAAGCAGCTAAAGATCAATTGCACACAAGAAACTGATAAGATTCGCAGAGAAAAGATCCATTCGCTGCATTTTTCGCAAGCATTGATCGCCGCACAGCCCGCCATTTCCACCGAGGCCGCCGGAAAGTTCCCGGCGCCAGCGTGGTGCCGGAACCACCAGAGGGCCCTGTCCCAGTGCTGCGCAAACGAATCTGCCACGGAGCCCAGTGTCATGGAATCCATGGAATCCATCACGGTCGTCTTCAAAAGATTGGTCGAAAGGAACCAGCCGTTTGACCTACAGCGTTTCTTTGGAGATTTTGGAGTTGCCTCTCAAAAAAGAAAATCCGCCCGCACCGAAGGTGCTGGGGCGTGATCTTCCGGATGGCACTCGTAAAAGGTTACAGGTTTACCTGGGGGGGGGGGCATTTTTCGGCCAAAACCTCCTGTTTTTGATAGGTCGGGACGCTCGCCTTCAAAAAACACTGTAAAAAACAGTACGGAAGACACCTGTTCGTGAACGCGCCCGTCCAAAATCGGCAAGCGAAAAGTGAAAAAACCCGTGTTTTTCAACTTTTTGACCTCAATTTTTTGGTTTGCAACATCTTTTTTTGCGGTTCCGCAGGTGGCCGGGCCCGGAGGCGGATTTTTGAGTTTTTGGACCCGTTTTCGGACTGATTTTCGTCGTTTTGTGATAGCAGAAACACTGGTTTTTACAGTGTTTTTCTGTTTTCTGCATGCTTGACGGCTAGCTTCAAAACTTCCAAAAACCTCGTAAATTACGCTGTTTTATGTTACGGTGTGAATGAAAACATCGTAAATACCAGTGTTTTTTGACGTTGGTTAAAAAAACACTGTAAATTACAGTGTTTTTGGCCACCTGACCCTCAAAAACCATGGTATTTGCAGTGGTTTCTGCTTCTCACCGCGCAAAAACACTGTAAATAACAGCAATTTCGCCGTTTTTTCATGTTTTTCGTTATTTTTTGAACTGCGTTGGTCCGCTATACATGGCTATCAAATTCTTCGCGTTTTTTTTCCGACAATCAGTACTTTCGGATGTTTTTGGTCTCAATGGCCGACATCATTGGCAGTTACGAGCGGCTGCCCAACGATGCGGTGCGGGCGGTTGCCGTCGCGAAGCGACGTGAATACAAATAAATTTGGGTTAAAGGATGAACATAATCTGTCCATGTTCCTCCGTTTGTAAAGGCAATACAATGGGACACCACAAAGTCTCGTCTCGAAAGCAGTGGTTCGTTTTTTGATTTAAAAGTGGAGGAGAACAAGCCTTGGCACTATAGAAACCTCGAAAAAGATAGAAAAGCAAATGATCACTTATTCTTGCTTTGGATTTGACCAAAATCTGCATCTTTTTGGGGGGCTCAAAAAATATCACGCCAGAGAACTGTGCCGCTGCCGTGATCAGCACATTTCCCAGCGCTCCAGAGCCGCCATTGTGGCCGTTGCTGTGCCAGGAGAAAGCACGTTGCCAGTGCTGCACGGTGCTGCAGCAAGAGATGAGGGAACTGCAGGTGATGAAGTTTGGTCGCACCTCCGGGGGTCGTCTGATGTGGGGACATGTGGGACCATGGTCCATCTTAGAGACCAAAAGAATGATCACAAGGGCAACATGCAAATGGATGACATGGAAATATAATGAAATATATAATATGGATGAATACATATTATGGGATTGGGATTGGATTAGATAGCCTTCAGCAAACATGCCAAACGATATGAATCCGAGGGTGTGGGTTTCTACGCGTTGTTTATCCTTTTGTAAAAGGGTTCGAAACCAAGTTTTTTCAAAGTGAAAGTTCTTGCTGGCAGCACAAGCTACATGATTATCGCTTTAAATTCTCCTGTTTTAAGTAAATTCATAGTTCTCCTTGTTTACTTGCCAACTATATACTTCAAATGAATTCTGATAACCATTCTTATCATGTTTGTTGGGCTGAAAGTTTCTGTTGCTTAAAATCCCCAGCTAGTTAAAACCCTATGTTTTATTATCAAATCCACATTTCGGTACATAGAATATGAATGATGTCCAAATCCACACGGTTGATGGTGATTTTTCCACGTTGCTATAGTCTTTACAGCGCAACGTTCACGCTGACCTTGCTGCGCTGTGAAGTGCCTAAGATCGTTTCGGCCTGCTGCCATTTCTTGGAGGAATCACCTCAGACGTCCGATGAAAAATGTGTAGAAAACCCTCTCTTTATAGCTGGTTGTGGTAATAGGATGTCTGCTATGGGGATATTTTGGGGACATATCATGTCTTTCATGTCTCAAAATGATCTGGCTGGTTAAGCAGAGACCATGATAATCCCCGACATATCAGAAGGCAGTTGGGCAATTTCTAAATCCCGAACCAATTAACAAACAGGGGGGTTGAACACTGCTCAATGGTTTTTTTGCCATGAAATATGATGACATGTGATGAAATATGATGACTTACGATTTTTGTTTGAATTCCTGGAATATATGATGAAGTATTGTATATTGTAAATGTGTGCCTTTAAATTCTGTAAAGGATAAGCTGAAAAGGATAGGAGCCCTGATGCCAATCTCTGCGACAACATGTTTTGTTGGAAACATCTCCTTTAGCGAAGAACGGCAGTCCAGCCCTGATTTCCATGTCATGTGGCAATTTCATTTTACTACTCACTCTGTTGGGTGCTTAGAATCTTCCCAGACGTCGCATCTCTTTGATTCCAACTAGAGATTTTCTAGAATTGTGGCAACCCAACAGCATCCAAGAGTCAACAAATTGAGAATATGTTTTTTTTCTAGGGAACATTCCAACTATCGTGTTTTGGATGACCCTAATCCCGGTTTCATAACCCTACTCAACAAGTCTCCTACATGAGGCTATCCCACGTATGTAAGGATGTATGCATACATATATATATATATATGCATATATAGATAATAGATATAGATATGGATACATTTATGGACCTATGGACTAGATATAACGACTGAATTTTCTACAACCTTTTTTTTGGGTGGGATGGCCATCCAAGTACCATCCGCCAAACAAACATGACTGTGGAAAATCCCATGGCCAAGGAACAGCTCGCAATCAATTCAGTGCTGAAAATCGTGTCCAATTCCATTGCTCTGCTTGTCACCTGACCACGGTTTTTGCTATATAAACCTGCGATCAATAGGTACATGTACATACACATAAACATATTTACATACAAATACGTGTATATATATGTGTGTGTGTATGTATATTAATAAGTACATAACATAAAATTACATCCATAACATAAAATACATGCATACCATACCCTACCATGCCATGCCATGCCATCCCATCGCATTGTATTGCAACGCCCTGCATTGCATATACATACATAAGTACATATGATCCCGTTCGCGCCCCCCCCCCTCATATGGTATGGTGTTACCCCCCACCACATCCACAGGGGGGGATATATAGACATATACATATACATATACATATACAAATACACATTTGACACATACACATACTGCATACGTACATACACACCCATCTATATATATATATGTATATATATATATATACATACATATGTACACTACTTACATATACATATACATTTGTAAATATATATATATAGCTTAAATACGCACATACTTGTATAATATTGTAGATATTCATAAATATAGGGACCATCAGCATCTCTGGGGGAAGGGGGGACCAGACACTGGCCATTTATATATCTATATGTATAAATATATATATATATACATATGTACAAAAAAAAATATATATATATGTATATATACATATATGTATACATGTGTTTGTATATATATATATATATATGTACATACATACATATTCGTTGTTTCACATACACATAAGGATAATTATATATATATAAATAGAGCAAAGTAGAATACAGTAGAGTAGTCTAGGTCTAGGTTGAGGCTCAGGCTAGATTAGATCAAAAGAGGGATTAGTTTAGATTAAACCGATAGATATCGGGCACTTGGAGATGATGGTCATGCCCTCTCAGTCCCTCGCGTCGTTTCTGTTGCACAGTAGCTGCATGGCATCCAACTCAAAAACAAAAATATGGGCCAGAAGACTGGGAAACGAATCCCAAAGCAGGAACAGAGCGGTGTATGAATCTCTATGATGTTTACTCATCTGGGGCCCTTAGTTCTGACTCAAACCCACGTCCAATTCCGTTCGGAATCTTGGCCACCATCAATAGTTAAAAGAGCTGAGCAAATGGATCAAACCTTTTCGTGGTTTTGTCGCGCCTGATGATGATCATGATGATGATGGCGATGATACTGATAACAATCTATCTATTTGGGCAGCCGATGTTTGGAAGGAACCCTTTGCTGCTGCTTGCTTTCGGGATTGAACGAACCTATATACATATATATAAATATACGAGCACACAAATAAAAAGATTCATTGTTAATGTATTCACATACAGTTGTTTTCCAAACAAACAAACATGTACTTCTACATATATATCTAGACAGTCTATTTATACAAATATATGTACAAGTACATGTTCAATGAAAATAATATGTAGATAATATGTACAGGTATATTTTCTATATACACTTCAATGACGTACTTGTATAAAATGCGATATTAGATCTGTATTGTACGTAAAGATACTAAACTAAACTGTAGTGGTATACTTATATTTGAAATCATTGAATTTCTATGATGATCATATGTTAAATATAAACACACTGTACATTGTTATGCACAAGTCACATCATAGCTCGACCAAGTGGCATCATCATTCACTGCCACTGCGGCGCTCCATCGATTCGCCCCAGCGAAGGCCTTCAAAGTGGCCGTGTAGGTCACTAAGCTGGGCTGGATCCTTGGCCAAATGAAGGGGAGGCGGTCAAGTGTGTCTGTGCGTGTGTGTGTGCACGTGTATGTATGTCAATGTAAGTGTATGTATATATATATATATGTATATATACACACAGTGCAAGTGAAATCATTTGTATACAGGCTTCACAGTTCCACTCTCATCCGCAGCTTGGTGAGTACAAAAAGGAGTGCCGGCCGATCCATCTCGCATAGCCAGATCTTTGAGCCATAGTCCTCCTTGTGTGCAACGTCCGTTCAGCTTGGGCATCCCTACCATTGCAGCGGAGCCTCATCAGAGGCTTGTGTGAGAAGGCGCCTTGGACCATACCTCGGCTTGTTGATCAACTGGGTGTCATGAGTATGAAAATGTCTCTGGACAAGTGCCTAGTCAACGACGATGGCAACAAGCAGAGGAAGATCCACCAGACATTCCCATGGCCGAGCCACCAATACCACATGCCAGATACTGGACAAAAAGGCCATTGAATGTTACACCACAAGAACCAGCAGCTAAAGAAGCTCCACCACTCCGAGCAAGAGGCGCGGCAGCGAGCAGTACAAGCTTCGAGGCCGAGGCTTGGTGGTCTCAAGTTCACTTCTCTGATGCTTCTGAGGAGTCAACGGCATTCTGGAATGATCCAGATGCGGCAGTGCAGATCGCAATTGATATGCCGACCAGCCAGTGAGGTTGGAAACACCTGGAGGGAGACATGACCAGCTACTTCATAGCTGCAATGCGAAAGCGAGCTGTCGGACTGAATGAGAAGAAGGTGGATGCCGAAACACGAGCACAGCTCGAAGGAGCAAAAGGAATCGAGGTGAAGAACTTCATAGCGGCAAAGGCCATAGGGATGAGATGGATTTTGACATGGAAAGTCAAGGACGATGGTAGCTGTAAGCCAAAAGCTCGAGCTATCCTCCTTGGCTACCAAGATCCAGGCTACGAGCATAGGGCTACAACAACACCTGTGATGACAAAGCAAAGTCGTCAGATGCTTCTGCAGATAGCCGCCATCAAGAGATGGAAGACTCAGAAAGGTGACGTCTCAGGGGCTTTCTTGCAGAAAAGAGGGTACCCAGGTGACCTCTTTTGTGTGTCGTGCCATGCCCTGAAATATGTCAGGCTATGGGCATTAGCAAAGATATTAATTATACCCCGTGTAAAACGTAGTTGTTATGGCTTAGTTGATGCTCCCATAGAATGGTATCGCAATGTTTCTAGCTACTTTGAAGGTCTAGGTCTGGTCAAAACGTGGGCTGATCCTTGCATGTGGCTTTGGAAACCCCAAGGGAAACTCCGAGGGATGATTAGCTGTCATGTAGATGACTTTGTATACACTGGTGGCAGGGAAGATCCTGAATGGGAAAACCTGCTCACCAAAATCCGAGAACAGTATGCTTGGGGCTCATGGGAGATAGGGAAGCTTGTACAGTATGGAGTTCTTGTTTGAAGAACAACCTGACAATAGCTATCACTTGTCACAGCCCAGCTACATGGAGAAGGTGAATGAAATTCCAATCAGCTCTAGTCGTCGAAAGGAACACCAAAGTGAACTGATCAGCCGTGAATAAACACAACTTAGAGCAGCACTGGGATCACTGAGCTGGCATGCCCAACAAGTGGCACCACACTTTTCTGCAGAGGTAGATTTGTTGTTGTCAGGGATCGCCCATGGATCAGTTGAGACCATACTTAAGACCAATAAGCCAATCCATGCAGCACGCCAGCGGAAGGATCATAAAATGATCATCCACCGCTTTCCTCAAGATGTGGAAGTGGGTCTCTTCGTGTGGGCCGACGCAGTGGGACAAAATAGAAAGACGGCAGCGGCACTCAGGGTTTGTTCCTAGGATTAGCTCCAGTGCCCTTGCTTGAAGGAAACATGGAAAAAGTCTCTCCCATCTGTTGGCATGCTAACAAAATCGAAAGGGTTGTCCGGAGTCCAGGAGCAGCTGAGGCAGCTGCAGTTGTGAATGGAGAAGATGTTCTGTTTCATGCTAGGTACCAATGGGGCGAACTGTTGGGTCCTCCTTTGGATGTGTTTGACATTGATGCTACTGTAAATACTGTGGTAGGAGGGGCCATCTCAGATTCTAGAAATGCGTATGACCGGTTGCAAACTGAAGAATTCAACACTCGGGACACTTGATGTGTGTAAAACATGCGCAAAGGCATAATCAGGTCGTCCATTTGAGGTGGGTTCACTCTGAAGCACAGTTGGGACATGCACTGACTAAACCGAATGCCAAGGAGCTCGATCATTTTTATCAACTAGGAAGAAGTAGATGGCGAATAGTTAGTGATGATGAGATGCGATCCGCGAGAAAACGAAAGCAAACTGGCATGGAGATCTTGGAAAATCAACAGCGTGCACCTGACTTACCTGCACAACGTGCGACCTTTGGAAAACATGGGTTTTGATTGCGAAATGGTTTTCCATTCCTGGAGGGGGACCAATGCAAGTGAAATCACTTGTATACAGGCTTCGCAGTTCCACGCTCATCCGCAGCTTGGTGAGGACAAAAAGGAGTGCCGGCCGATCCATCTCGCATAGCCAGATCTTTGAGCCATAGTCCTCCTTGTGTGCAACGTCCGTTCAGCTTGGGCATCCCTACCATTGCACTTGCACACAGTATACATATGCGTACATATACCATATGTATATTTATATGTATGAAAAATAAATCAACTGTAAATTTTACAGCCTGACAAAATAGGTCGTGAAATGGTGCGGGGGATACTCAAACAATGGCCTTAGGAACCTGCCCTCCTGCTGATAGCCACTACCTTGTGATGATTTCGACATTCTGGTTTGGGAGTTCCCAACATAACCGCAGACATAGCAGATGTGGTTGTCTTTTCTATCCAACTTAGTTTCACAGAAGTGGCTACGTAAGGAAATCAAGGAGAGACGGGTGACACAAACCAGTTAGTGGATTCTGAAAATTGGGGTGCCTAAAAGCCATTGCAGCCATTGATTTCCCTGTTAAAACAAAGATAAACTTTAGATGATGTTGGGCTTCCCGATGGGAAAAAAAAACATGTGGAGTATGGATGCCCCCACACGATTGCATGGCAATTGGTGGATGACCACAGAAACAGCATAAAAGTTGTTGCTTCCCCACTGTTCAATACCAACACAATCTACATATAACATCAAGTGACAGATGTTTCCATCAAAATTGATCAGTTCTTAATCTATGAACGCACCCGTCACCAATCTGTTTTCCCACTGTTTGATGGTAAACATCGAGGCATTTCTTTTAACACCCCTCTTCAATACACAAAAAGAAAAATGTCCTTCAACCCCCCAGCTTTGACAGCACTTGGATGCCTATCGAACAGTGTAAATGATTACAATGCTAATAATCATGCCTCTCTGCGGGAGGTCCTAAAATGAGGGGGCCCTGAAATCATTCAAATTTTGTCGTTTCTACTGTGGAAACCACTGCTTTGAGATGCTCAGCTTGAAGGAACCCCAAATCTCATTAATGGCATGAACCCTTGTTGTAAGGTTCCCTAAAGTTTACTTAAAGTTTATTAATCAGTTGCTAAGCTGGAATGATCATCCAACTACACCATATTAAGACCGATATTCGAAGGATGATTGATTCCCAGCAATGGTTCAAAGGAAAACCTTACAGGAATCCCGTATTTGGATGGAATTAGTTAGTACAACCCATGGTTTCAGCGTAGGATTTTCCCTGCACCAAGGCTAGTCAATGATGTTGTTTGATTGGCCAAGCATTATTTTCCCCATCAGTATTGCCGTAAATGGCTGGTCAACCTCTTACTTTCACACCATATATCATATCAGGTTGGTTATAGTTGTAATAAGTATCAGAGATGTGTGTATGTTTAAACATATAATTATTTATATATATATATATATATCCCATGAAATTCCCGTGCGTATCTTGATTTTATCGTTCATTATTCCCCTTGCTGTTGCATCTTTGAAGCAGCCAATCATCAAATCTCCATTCAACTTCAACATAGCCCTTTTTGATGTTATAAAAATGTTATAGCCTAAATAGCCCCATAATTTAACAGACCCACTTGGGGGGCTCTTGAAATGGGGAGTCCCCAAGTCACCATTGTTTACAAAAGATAAAATAGTTTAATGAGCCGAATGACTACCCCCATGACAAAACAGAAACCTCCATACCATTGACCAAAGGAAGTTTAGAAGTCAAACTTCCGACAATATAAGCAGCAGAGGTGGGAAGAGCCAAAGAAAAGAAAGGAAGAAGCAAGGAGGGTCGAAAAGTAGGCGCGCTAAAGCGGTGGGTGCGGAGCCATCTGCGGAGATGAGAGATGAAGAAGTGCATGCGGTTGTGACGCGAAGCAGAAGTCAAACTGCGCAAAACACCTCAGTGTCGCAGCACTTTTGGAAGTTGAGATGTGGAAAGTGCGCGTTGCTGCGGCGCGAAGCACATTTGGACGTCAAGCCCTTTTGGAAGTTGAGATGTTCAAAAAGTGCACACGCCTTTGTGGCACGAAGCACATCTCGAAGTCAAAGTGCCAAAGCCGCCTCATGCTCCAAGCACGCTTATGGTGCGAAGCACATTCCGAAGTCAAAAGTGTGAAAAACTGGCTGTCTCGGGCCATTTTTGGAAGTCGGATGTTGAAAATTTGCAGGGCTTTGTGGTGCGAAACACATTTCGAAGCAAAATGTAAAACACCACACGTTCCCATTTTTATCGATGTTGGAGCGTCATTTCTCCTGGCAGGCGCAATGGGTTCTGCACCTTGCCAAAAAAGCGAAACGTGAAGGTTTTGTAGCATTTGCAAAAACGATGGCAGGCGTGGGACATTTGAAGAGGATCTGCAAACATGTATTTCGGCCGCAGGCGCAGTACAAAAGACGCTCTAATCAGACATGATTGGAGGTCAGGGAGTAGATTTCCTGAGATGGGTTGCATTTTGGAGCATCAGATCTGTAGGTTTGCTAAGATGATTTTGCGCAACAGGTGCAGCACTTGTGGTTTAGTCCTGGCCTGGCCTCAGTTTTTCATGGCGGGCCGCCAGGTCTGCACTGAACTTTCCACTTTTGAAGTCTCGCAGAATTGCTTTGCCATCCATCAGTTCGCTCCATGAATTCGCTCTGCCATGAATCGCAACAACTCACCACTCCTATAGGTGTCCTATCTTTGAAACTTCCGCCACCGCCTTGTGCGGTATCTACTGGTATAGATTGATTAGATTGATAATTCAATAATTGACATTGGTTTACTGATAATGCGATAATTCAGTCATTGATATAACATGATCAAGCGCCATAATTAGACCCACTTGCCATTCCTGGAAGCGCCAAGGCCGAGCTACAAGCCGCTTGCATCTCTCATCAGCTGCACGATGCGTGGCCAGGAGTTGCTGCAGGCCTTGAGGGCGGCACTGTTGGTCACCACATTGGGCCTGTGTGGCATAACAGCAACACCTGGGAGTGGATTTTTTGGGAGCAAAACTTTGGATTTCACCGCAAAAACTGAGAAAATTCTGGGTGAAACCAGGAAACATTTGAGGGAATCATCTGAGGGTGCGAGGTGTTTTGGACTGTTAGGATCACACAGTGCCCGAAATGCTGGCACACCATGGGGCATCCACAGTCTTGATGCTTAAGTTTTGCCAAAAACGCCATTGAATGATCTCCCATTTTTGATGGTCAAAGAAAAACGAATTTCCGCCGTTTCACCTCTTTTTCAATCCACAGTTTTGACGCTTCAATCCTCATGTTTTCTGGTGAAATCCAAAAGATAAGCGCTGTTTCAACATCCTTTTGTCTCTCAATTTTGCAAGGTCCACATGTTTGATTCTTGACTCCATTCTTTGCTGGTTAACTCCCCGTTTTTGATGATTGAATAATCCGTTTTTCGATGGTCCCCAAATCCCTTGCCCCAACGTTTCCTCAACGTCTCCTCCCGCAGCATCTGCATCATCTGCCCTGCATGGCGCCAGGCACGCCCCAGAGCGCAGCCATGCAATGCAGTACCAAAGCTGATGACGTCGCGCGCGAACGCTGCGGAAGGGCAGCAGGGCATGAGGCCTTGGTTAACCGACCAAAATGGTCAGATTTCAGCCAGAAAAATAGGGGGTGAGCAAGACGAAATGAGGTTAGACCAACAGAAATGCCGGTCTTAACCAACAAAGGTCCAAATTCACATAATTTAAAAATATGTCAAATAAATAGCCATCAAAATCCGGAGCAAAACCTAGGGAATTATCCGGAGAAAAAATGGGAGTTAACAAAACACAAACCCAAAAGAAAAAATATTATATACTTTGTTTGGAAAATCAACAAAGATGAGGAATTAACCACAACAACGATCAAACGACCCAAAAAAAGATTCAGCCAGCAAAAACAGGGGACTCTGTATTTTATATATATATATATATATACATATGTATATATATATATAAAGCAACAGCCATGCAAATATCAACAAAAGCATGATGATTAAAGTACCAAAACGAGGACGGCAATTTAAAATTGCAAATATCATAGAATATCAACAAAACAAAAAACTGGTTGGTGGTTTGAACATTCCCCTGGAAAAATACTAGACCTTAGGGATCACCATCCCAAATAATCATTAAAGATGTTGGAACATAAAAACATATCTCAAGGTTTCCAAATTTAGGATTTTGCCACGCTTATTCGATCCGAAACCATGCCCAGCCACTGAAGAGCCACAAGGCCTTCTGCCACTCAGAGGCCGCAGCCACGGCAGAGATCACCAAGTTCCAAGAGGTCGCGTCCAGCCCGACGAAGTCCGTGATTCCAAGGCGCGCGGCTAAGCAGCTGAGGGCGTTGGGCCACATGGAAGGCTCCTCCAGGATGTGACAAATCATTGTTTTGTGATGGAAAAACAAGGAAACCATGGAGCTAAAATGGACCGGACCATAAAAGATGCGGAGATCCATTCGCAGAAAAAAGGGAACTTGAAAATTAAAGGACCGGATAACCCCACAAGTCAACTTCTTCCAACAAGCAACAAAAGAAAGGCAAAGACGGCATGGGGTAAGCAAGAAAGAGAAAAGGGATGGTGAAGGATTGGTGTGGAGTAAGTTATGTGTGGACGAGTATGTGTGAGTAAGTTGTGTATGGATGAGTTGTGTTTGTGTGTGAGGTGTGTGTGTGTGCGAGTATGTGTGTGTGGTGTGCGGCCACGATCAAAGATGCCCCACGCCAGGAAGTGCGGCGAAGGGCAATCGATGCGTGACCATTGATTATGTGTCCGCAAACGTACAGCGCAGACCATCACGAAAACGGATGGCCCACGACTGGCGTTTGGATGATGTGTGTGTGTGTGTGGGTGTGTGTGTGTGTGCGTGGGCGTGTATGCGTGCGTGCGTGCGTGCGTGCGTGCGTGGGTGCGTGCGTGCGTGCGTGCGTGTGTGTGGGTGTGTGTGTGTGTGTTTGTCTGTGTGTGTGTGTGTTTGTCTGTGTGTGTGTGTTTGTCTGTGTGTGTGTGTGTGTGGGTGTTTGTCTGTGTGTGTGTATGTGTGTGTGTACGTGTGTGTATGTGTGTGTGTCTGTGTGTGTGTGTGTGAGTGCGGGTGTCGGCGTGGACCATGTACGCGATGAGGTCAGTACCTGGCAGGTAGTATCAGAAGATGCGATCACGCTGAAATTGCAACAAAACAGCTGTCCATGGGCAGTGCAGAATTTAGCCTACAACGCTCCTGTTCCTCTTGGCTTGTCAACTACTGCCCCACGACACCGGTGCAGACAAGCGCATGAGAAACAAACACAGCTGCACCTTTCGAAGTTTTGCCGCTATGATTCATCGGATAACGCATTTGCTTCTCGCATCAACTATCGCACAGTGCTTCAATGTGGCCACAGGAGCTATGGAAACTACCTTGCCTCAATCCATCGGATGACACACTTCCTTCTCGAACAACTGTCGCAGTGTGATAAACTCTCTTCAAGAGGAGAGGCATCATCTTTGCACGGTGCATCAATGTGCCCACACAAGCTGTTAACACAAACTTCAATATCGCAGGCATCATCTTCGCACATTGCATCAATGCGCCCACGACAGCTGTTGACAGTGTACCATCCCATGACATGAAGCTCTCGCGACATCTGCCTACATGGCATCATAAGGCAGTAGAGCAAAATACAAATAATGGTAGCTACCTCGCCTCAATTCATCGGATGACACACTTCCTTCTCGTAACAACTGTCGCACTCTGATAAACTTTCTTCAGCAGGCATCATCTTCGCACAGCGCATCAATGTGCCGACACAAGCTGTTAGTATAAACTTCGCTATCGCAGGCATCATCTTCGCACATTGCATCAATGCGCCCACGACAGCTGTTGACAGTGACATACAAATAGCTGCAACTGTTTGCACAGAACCTGTTCTGAGCTGGGACGAACGCCATCTTTTCTTTCGATCACATTTGCATCGTGTTCAGGAGCATATAGTGTTTGTCCTTGCGCAACTGCTGAATGCTTTTTGCAAATGCCATGCCACCGTTCTTCAAGAAATTGTACGATGCGTTCCGCTGATCAGTCAAACAAGAAATCGTACAGATCTCCACGATTTCGCGCTGAACCGATCAACGTAATGCTTCGTACAACTTTTTGAAAATGGTGGCATGGCATTTGCCAAAAGCATTCAGCAGTTATGGAAGGAGGACTTAGCATCAAATGCATCTTCGCACGGCGCGTCAATCGATAAAGAGCATATAGTCTTTGTTCTCAACTCCCAGTTTGTAAGTACGTCCGAGACCAAAAAGGAGTAGATGAAAATCCAGAAACAGTTTCTATCCAGTCTGCCTGTAGTGATACCATTCTGGCAGACTGCATGCATGCTTTCCAGTGCTCCGACAGCCGTTATACCGCAAGAGTCTGCATCCGGTCTGCAGTGACACCGCAAACCGTTATCCACGTGCCTCGATTGCATCAAACCTTGACGCAGAGCAAACACAGGAAACCCAGGGTCTCTGCCTGGACCGTCCAGCCACAGACGCTGGGAACTGACTCGCAAGGTCGAACTGATGCTGTATCTGTAACTGTTCCTGAAGATTCGGTGGCAGAATTGATTCTGCACTGCTCACGCACGTCAGCTCTCACCCGCGCGACCCGGCCCAACCCGCTCGCGGACCCAGGGCTGCGCCGGGCAGACCGTCGAGGCTGAAAAAAAAAGCGGTTGCATGTTGAGTGGTTCAGCATGCTGTCTGTTGGGTAATAGCGTTGCGTCGTAGTCTTGACCTGGTCGGTCTTTTTCCAGGCTGCCCGCTCGGGCAGCCTGGCCCACCCTCCCTACCTCCCCACATGGGGCCTGCCAGCAACTCTGCCGCAACACTTACAGCAGAAGCACCGCCAGGCCACATCAGAAGAACCGCATCATCACAGAAACCGCCCGTCAAAGAAAAGTTCGAGACAAAAAATCTTTCTGCGATGCAAAGTCACAAATTTTAAGAACCAAAAGAACTGACGGTCACATTACTGCAATGTTACTGAGCATGGTTCTTTGCAAACCATTGCGCCAAACCAATGTCAAAGCATGCACCAACAAAACCGCGCCTGCCCTACGGTCACAGGCGCGATGACGATACCGGAACGGAAATGTACCTGGTGGCACAAGGATAGCGATGTACATGGAGCTGTTATCAAAGCAACAAATACACAAAGGAAAAAAATGAGGTTGCCGCACGAATGCCACCTTTTCGCCTGGATTAAAATCTTGACAAGGTCTGTAGCACTTCTTCCCACAGTGGGGCAAAATGCAAACATGTCACGAACATTTCTCATGTAGCCGTGGCGACTGCAGTCTTCCCACATTGAGTCAACCATGGGTCCCACAGCTAACAAAAGGTATGATGGCCGTCGTCATTCTCATGTCTTCCCACATTGAGTCAAACATGAGATGACAGCCGAAAACAGATTCATTCGCCGGCCGCGCTTGTGTCTTCCCACAGTGAGTCAACACTTGCACGTCGGGCGACGTCAATACGGCGCACAATTGCACACTCAGGCGCCGTCCTCTGCCATCGCTGTCTCTTCAGGCGTTTGCTCGACGGCGATGGCGAGTCGTTTCATTGGTGTCCATGTCGAATCATATGTGATGGTCTGTGGGGCACTCACCTCTGACTGGTACAGCTGCATCAGAAATCGTGTGGCTCCTTCCACACGGTGCGCTTCAACTGGTACGTGCCAGAGCACACTCCACTCGCCTTCTTCTTCGGTGTGGGCCAAGACCACCAAGTGCGCTTCGCCTGCGCGGCCTCGTAGCATCCAATTGACTACCGAAGCCGGACCAGCGCTCCGCAGCTTTGCCCGGTGCGTCACACTTGTCTCGGCGGTGCCACACAGCAGGCAATCGACGGATCTCTTCACCCGCATTGCTGAGACGGCTGTGTTGTCTTGCTGCAGAGCTTCATCATCGGGCAAGGTCACATCATTGAAAGCGACCAGTGCCCGCACGAAGCTGGCTTCCACGTCACCAATGCAAATCAACCCCAACCGCACATCGACTTGCAGCATGTTCAAAGGTGCCACGGGGCAGCCAGTGTTCAAAAGGCAGTGTGGCACTTTCCGCTGGAGCGTGGCAGGCTCCACGACAGCATTGGCTCCGCTGGCCCGCCAGCACGGCTGCAGATGACGGCACTCTAGCTCTAGAGTTTGTTGATAATCGTTCTCACGGAAAGTGAATCTGCAAAGCCACTGGGCCCCACGGAACAAGTCACGCAGCTGCAAGCGCACGGCCGGGGTGTCGTGCACCGTCTAGGAGAGCGTGCAACCCATGCTGGCAGCTGCTCGCAGCACCAGTTCGTGGTACAGCACGATGGTGCACTGGCAGTTGCAATCTGCAAGCGTGAGCCTGAGAGCAAAGCGTTTCTCGGTGCCGTCCGTCGGATGGGCCTCAAAGCTAGGAAGCAACGTACAGACAGCCAGGAAGCAACGTACAGCCGGTGCAATACGGCTTTTGATTACAAACAGATACCAAACACAATTAAAGAAGATCGCACAAGAACGGCTGGAGTCCACGCCTCGCACGGTGCTGCTTTCTTGCACTTCGCACACGAATCGATGAGCCACACATCCGTTTCCGTCTTCACAGACGAAATGCCTAGAACTTGCAAACCGACAACCTCAAAGACCGTCTCCAACTTGCGCAGTTGTCCAGGTACGATCGCTCCCACGAGAGCACTCAAGGATGAGGGGGTGGCAGGGCAACCAATCCAATCCTTCACAGGAATTTCCGTCAACATTCGGCAATTGTCTTGGTGAGCTAGCTCTGCCTGCCTGCAGCAAGGGTATGTTGAGCAAAAGGTAAAAGAAACGGAACAGCCAAAGGAAACATCATACAGCCAAGAGACAATGCCGTCGCCATCTCTGCACTGCATGGCACCAGAGACGTGCCACGCCAGCTGCCGATCTCCCACGATCTTTCATCCTTGCGCTTGGTGATCAAAACCTGGTAGAGCATCAGACTCGTTCCAGCTGTCTGTGCTGCCAATTCTTCAGCCTGCTCATGCCAAAAAGAACATCTCACTCGCGTTGCCCCTTGCTGCACAATAGCATTGCACACCATCGCAGCACCTTCCTTCGTCTGACGTTCCACCGACCCTGGATTCTCCACAATTGTGACCGAAACACAAATCTGCTGCCGATCTCGGACCCGATCCAAAGCAGAGAGCGGCACTAGCGGATGCACGGCCGGAATTCCCTGCCACGGACTTTCGTCAAGCTTCTGCACAATGACCTGTAGTCCCAAAGGTCCTTTCAGATTCAAATGGTAATGCAGCCGCGAGGTAGAGTATTGGGCCGGCGCAGATACCACAGCAGCTCCTTGGATGGAGACCACATCACCGACCTGGCATTTTTGTGCTAACTTGTCTCCGTTCTCGCCCCAAGCTTCCACGTAGAGCACTTCACTCAAGCTCTGCGTAGCAGCGATATGCGCTTCCAACTTCCGAAGCGTGCGGGTCTCTGGCAAACCTTTTGCAGCTTTGCCGCCCTTGCCTTTTCTGCCTCCACTGGGCGCTGCCGCCGCTTGGGTTCCTTTTCTCGACTGGATCTCTTGGTGCTTGAGGATCACGATGCGCCCAGCCACGGCAGTGTTCTGGTCGCCGCGGTACTCGGACGGCTTCAAGCACGTCACTGCCATGTTCGTGCTTCTGGCCGTACCCATGCGGTCCCAATATTCTATGCAGCTTGCTTTGATGTACAACTGTGAACTCATAAATGCATTATTGAAAACATTTGGTGGTCTTTATGCTCTGGTGGATGTGGTGCCTTCTTTCCACGTTGGGCCAAAGCCACCAGAACGGCAATCGATGATTCGATATTGATCTAGAACGCTGTTTGTATAGTGTTGTATGAGCTACCAAGTGATAACCACAAGTGTCGAGCCGTCGGTACCGAGCCAAAAGCACCTTCGAAAGGAGCATCTCTGCACACGATTTTGCAAGAATGAAGGAACATGTGACGGAAACATCTCAGCACGAAACAAAGATAACAGCCACGTCTCCATGAATCGACGAGTCCGCGGCTCCGCAGACTGACCTGGCGCATGCGTGCCAGAGAACAGTGGCATTTTGAACACCTTGAACACCTTTGCTTGTAAACTACCAAATCTCTTCGAACAACGTCATGAAACAAAGCTAAAAGTACACCATCTTCACCACGCCTGCCACGCAAAGTGCCGCGGCGTCACAGGCGCCAAATCCCGGCCCAAGGGCGCCACCCAGTACCATCTGTCCCACGCCTGCCACGCAAAACGACGGCAGATGTCAGTTTGTGCCACGCCTGCCACGTGAAACGAAGGTGGATGTGAGGTTGTGCCACGCCTGCCACGCAAAGTGCCGCGGCGTCACAGGCGCCCAAGCCAGTCCAAGCGCGCCACCCAGTGCCATGAGTGCCACGCCTGCCACGCAAAACGACGGTAGATGTGAGTTTGTGCCACGCCTGCCACGCAAACCGACAGTAGATGTGAGTTTGTGCCACGCCTGCCACGCAAAGTGCCGCGGCGTCACGGGCGCCCAAGCCAGTCCAAGCGCGCCACCCAGTGCCGTGAGTGCCACGCCTGCCACGTGAAACGAAGGTAGATGTGAGTTTGTGCCACGCCTGCCACGTGAAACGAAGGTGGATGTCAGGTTGTGCCACGCCTGCCACGCAAAGTGCCGCGGCGTCACAGGCGCCAAATCCCGGCCCAAGGGCGCCACCCAGTACCATAAGTGCCACGCCTGCCACGCAAAACGACGGTGGATGTGACTTTGTGCCACGCCTGCCACGCAAAACGACGGTGGATGTGAGTTTGTGCCACGCCTGCCACGCAAAGTGCCGCGGCGTCACAGGCGCCAAATCCCGGCCCAAGGGCGCCACCCAGTACCATAAGTGCCACGCCTGCCACGCAAAACGACGGTGGATGTGACTTTGTGCCACGCCTGCCACGCAAAACGACGGTGGATGTGAGTTTGTGCCACGCCTGCCACGCAAAGTGCCGTGGCGTCACAGGCGCCAAATCCCGGCCCAAGGGCGCCACCCAGTACCATCTGTCCCACGCCTGCCACGCAAAACGACGGCAGATGTCAGTTTGTGCCACGCCTGCCACGTGAAACGAAGGTGGATGTCAGGTTGTGCCACGCCTGCCACGCAAAGTGGCGCGGCGCCCCAGGCGCCAAATCCCGGCCCAAGGGCGCCACCCAGTACCATCTGTCCCACGCCTGCCACGCAAAACGACGGCAGATGTCAGTTTGTGCCACGCCTGCCACGTGAAACGAAGGTGGATGTGAGGTTGTGCCACGCCTGCCACGCAACGTGAAACGAAGGTGGATGTGAGGTTGTGTGTGTGTGTGAGTGTGTGTGTGTTAAGTTTGTGTATGTGAAGTTATTGTATGTTATTAAGGAAGTTATTGTATGTTAAGTGTGTGTATGTGTTAAGTTTCTGTATGTCAAGTTGTGTTAAGTTTGTGTGTGTGTGAAGTTATGTGTGTATGTGTCAAGTTGTGTTAAGTTTGTGTGTGTGTGTGAAGTTATGTGTGTGTGTGTATGTGAAGTTATTGTATGTTATTAAGGAAGTTATTGTATGTTAAGTGTGTGTATGTGTTAAGTTTCTGTATGTCAAGTTGTGTTAAGTTTGTGTGTGTGTGTGAAGTTATGTGTGTATGTGTCAAGTTGTGTTAAGTTTGTGTGTGTGTGAAGTTATGTGTGTGTCTGTGTGAAGTTATGTGTGTGTGTGTTATGTATGTTATGTTAAGTTTGTGTGTGTGAAGTTTGTGTGTAGTGTGTGTGGAGGAGGGTTAAGTTTGTGTGTGTGTGAAGTTATGTGTGTGTGTGTGTGTCAAGTTGTGTTAAGTTTGTGTGTGTGTGAAGTTATGTGTGTGTGTGTTATGTATGTTATGTTAAGTTTGTGTGTGTGAAGTTATTGTCTGTGAAGTTTGTGTATGTGAAGTTTGTGTGTAGTGAAGGAGGAGGGTGGGAGGAGGAGGAGGAGGAGGAGGAGAAGGAGGAGCCCGGGATACAGAATCAAAAACAAGAACCCCACACAAAGATGTGGGGAATAATACTGGCCAATGATGTGCTTCTTTTAGTGCAAATGGAGGGGTCTGTTCGCTATACCTGGCACCATCGTCATCATCATCATCATCATCAACTATCGGTGTTGTTTAGTCGCCCACAAAGATGATCCAACTCCAGGATCCATGAAATAACCTCATCAAGGTTTTTATTGCCAAAAACAGGGATACAAACCACGTTGACACATACCCAACTTGGGATCAAACGAACCAAAAAGTTGGATGCTTCACCAACCAAACATGGGTATCAGTCAAATTTGCAGGCCTTTGGGCTTCTCATCTATACAACAGGTATGTCGTTTTTCTGCCCCAAGTGAGCGCGGCACCTCCCATGTTCCCCTCCTGCCCCACACCTTTCCCCCCACTCCTCCCCACCACCCCATACCTTGCCCCACCCCGTCCCCCCTCGCCGAAAGCCACGCCAGGGCAAGAAAAAGAAAGCAAATCAAAGCCCCATACACACTATGTATACTCTCTATGTATGTATATATATATATATATAGATAAACATACACTCTATATATATATATGTAAATATATTTATAATTATATATATAGCTCTATATAGATATACATATAGATATAGATATAGATATCCGGCATCATTTCCCTAGAACGGTCGTGAAAAACAGGTTGCACTTTGTGCAACCCTTCTTTTCAAGACATCATCACATCTCTTTCGTATCTCCATCATGGCCTCATACCTCACTCTCCCCTCCTCCTCCTCCCTCCGTACATATCTTGCCCCCCCTCCACCCCCAATCCAGTACATACTTAGTGGGCGAAGAAAAAGCTGCGGAGGGAGCGGGTAGAGACGGGGCCGAGGAGGGAAGGGTGGCAGGGGAAGGGAAGGACGCGGGGAAGGGGGGAGGAAGGGTTAGACGCAGCAGCGAGCAGAAAAACGACATAATTCGACAAACTTTTTGATAGTAACAGTACCCTTTTCACAGTATGAGATACAGTAAGATTCACAGAAATGGGGATCCACGGGGATATACCACCCACAAGGCCGGGGAGATGACAAATATGCTTTCTTTGCCTCGACAATGGACCAAGAAGCGTGTTTTGCATCTTTCTGGACCCCCATCGCACATCTGCCCTGGCAAAAAATACAATCCTGCCAAATCATAGAAATGTGCAACAATGATGTTGAAATGCTGAGTAGTGCACGTCCAGAATATGACTTCAAACAAGGTAACCAAAAGACTACCCAACGCCGCAAGCCCAGTTCAAGGGTCCAAAGCAGCCACCGCTGCATTGAAGCCGAAGACGTTGCATTGGTGCCCTGCCTCAAGGTAATGAAGGGCATCTGGCAGTCACGGAGGAATTGGGATGGGTCAATTTTGTTCAGATTCGTGGATGGGTCAATGTGTGATCTCCAAACGGTTGGTTTAAGATGGTTACAGTAAATCAATTGAACCTAGCAAAGCGGATGAAAAAAAACAACAAACGTGCTGGTCAACTTCGGATCAAGTTCAGATCATGTCAAACCTGGATAGACATATTATATATATACAAGATTTGAGCCAAATATTGGCAAAAAATTGCAAGCAAGAAGACTTGAAGCTCAAATCTGGGCACCCCAAAGACATTGCTTCCTGCTCATAGACTTATTTACAGGACCAATTTGGGATAGAGAAATCCTTCTTGGCAGCTCTATGGCGCTGTGATCGTCATAGCACCCCTTCCAGCCCAAAGAAGCTCCATCTCTCCATCTACTTATCTAGTCGAATCTAGTAAGCTAATCTAATCTGTCCTGATATGTATATATATATATATCCTATACTATATATTTATATATACATACTATATATTACTATATATGTAGTGTATATATATATATGTGTATATATATATGTGTGTATATATATTAATATATATATATGTATATGTATAGGGCTGGATGAATTTGAACGTCACGAACCTTAAGTCAGATGGCTTCCCTTACCAACCATAATCTATGAGGCCGCAGTGATGTCGCCAAAATTCAGTCGAATAATGATATGTCAAAAACAATGTAAGGAATCCATGCGGTCTACACCCACAAGCCATCACCCATTCTCTCTCTATCTATCTATCTATCTATCTATCTATCTATCTATCTATCTATCTATCTACCTATCCCTATGTGTCTCTATTAATCTATATCTCCATCTACCGGAAAATCCATCTACCCATCTATATCTGTAATCTACAGTTTTTTCTTCCCCACCTGGGTCACGTCCATCAACGCCTGGAAGGCCCTGCGCCACTTGCGTCGTCCCAGCACCGCGATCAGCGTGCCGCACGTCACGACATCCGGCGCCGCGGCTGCGACGGCTGCGAAGATGTGCCCGGCCTGGCGCCAGGCGCTGTGCTGCGCCGTGGCACCTGCCCCGGAGGCCCCGGACGTCCGGAGAGCCATGGGAAAGCCAAGCCGCCAATATGGTTGCTATATGGTTAGTATACAGTAACTATCGTTACAAATTGTAAAGCCTCATAAGTTGGGATATAAAATTATATCACATCCACCTATAACCATAGAAAATATCCTATAAATGGAGCTGTTACCATCAAGAAATATGGATTTAGTGGGAATACAATGAGAGAATCAAACATGGCAAGCTTGGAAATTCCATCTCTCAATGGAGATTCCCTAGCTATCACCATCCCATTTTGGGTAGTACCCAAAGTTAATTCCCCCACCAAAGTGGACCTGTTCAAAAATAGGGAAGAGAAATCTCACTGGTGGATTTTGGAGATGAAAGAAGGCTGGGATGGGTTGATATGGCCCAAACATCCCCATTGCGCGACGTGTTGCAGTCGCAGGCCTCAGCTCTGGGTTTTACCTCCTAACATGGACCATGGACTTCCAAGTTTGTTGATGGATTCAGAATTTCAGATCCCAAAAATGTCCAGCCTTTTGAATTGTGGGTCCCAACCCTTATGACCCATCCATGTCCAGCAACTGTCGCACCTAGAAGCAGGTTCATGGAGATTCGTGAGATCTTTAAGGCATTCCTGGGATGAGAACCCCCGAGGTCCCACGGGAAAATCCGCGGCTCCTGGGTTGGGCAAACAAAAAAATCTCAGCCTCCTTCGGCTTCCGAGACTCTGTTGTGCTGCAGCCAAACAATCCAGAGCTTCAATCCAAGCCCCTTTGGCTTTGAAACTCCGCAACCTTATTTGGTGATGTGGCTCGAAGCTCGCTGAACGCAAAATCGTCTATGTATGGTATATGTGCGGTTGATTTATAATCATTTACTATACATCCATTCCAAAAATCAGCTAGTCATGTCGGCTAGTAATACGGGTTGCCCCTCAAAACAAAAAAATGCGGCGCTTCACAGCGTTTATTATTGGGTGTATCCATGAAAACCTAAAAAGGTACGCAAAAAACAGTTTAAAAGATTGGTCCTGTCATTGAAACTCAAAACCTTGAATGAACATCAATGGCTGTGTAATTTATACTATATGTAACTACTTGGTACACGCCGCACAGACGGCCGTGGCGTTTCGGTCACTTTTTGCAGCTCGCACTGACGTTTGTTCATCAGCACTTCTTGCAAGGAACATCTACGTATCTTCGTTTCGTCCCATTTTTTCAATGTTTCAGGAGACGTTGCAGTGCAGTGAAGAACTGAGTTGGTGACATGGGTCCTTGGTGCTGTCGCCAAGCCCATTGAAACACGAGTTCCGAAACTATTGGAGAAAGAACAGTGTGACCGTGCTTCTTCTGTGTGGCATTGATATGAGCAGGGAGCCATTCAAACTTTAAGGAACATCAACAACGTGTGCAACGTACCAGGAACGTTAACATGCCCCACCCCACCCCAGCCCCTGCCCCACATCCTGGCAGGTGCGGAACATCAACAACGTCTGCAACGTACAAGGAACGTTAACATGCCCCACCCCACCCCAGCCCCTGCCCCACATCCTGGCAGGTGCGGAACATCAAAAACGTCTGCAACGTACAAGGAACGTTAACATGCCCCACCCCACCCCAGCCCCTGCCCCACATCCTGGCAGGTGCGGAACATCAACAACGTGTGCAACGTACAAGGAACGTTAACATGCCCCACCCCACCCCAGCCCCTGCCCCACATCTGGCAGTTGCGGACATCAACAACGTCTGCAACGTACAAGGAACGTTAACACGGCCCCACCCCACCCAGCCCCTGCCCCACATCCTGGCAGGTGCGGAAGTGGCAACTTACAAGGAACGTTAACATGCCCCACCCCACCCCACCCACAGACCCTCGTGAACGTAGTATCAACCTCGTGCCAAAAACCTGGAAAATGTTGAGAAATGGTGAAAGGCACACGGCCGTCTATGCGGCGTGTGCCAACTACTTCGCTGGGTTTACAGTCTATAATATATATATATATATGTATACATATATATTCTACCACATTAATCCACATTACACATACTACATGGGTTTGTCTGCAGAATAGGGTACCCTCGTACCCCTGGTCCACTGATGCCATTTTGCCGGGCCGCGATCCAAGGACTTGCTTCATCCGGACGATGAAGGATTCGCTGCGCTGGGACTGCTTGGGCCATGGCGCGAGTGACGGAGAAAACTGGTTGGTTGTAGTCCTAGAGAAAATGAGATCTACTGTATATGCATGTATTATATATATATGATTATATATGTATGTGCATGCATGTACGGCATGCATGGATGGATGGATGTATGGATGTATGCATGGATGTATGCATGGGTGTATGTATGTACGTACATATTGCAGACTGCATAAACAAATACACATATTAGTGTAGATGGTTATAGAAATCCCCTCAGAACTGTGACAAGTGAATAGAACTCGGGGGATAGATGGGGATGGCATGAATGTATGATATTATATATATATATATCGTTGGTGGTTTTAACCATCTTGAAAAATATGAGTTCGTCAATGGGAAGGATTATCCCATATATTATGGAAAAGTTAAAAATGTTCCAAACCACCAACCAGATATATATGCACATGCCAGTTGTAACTGTACTGATTGACACCCTTCCGAGCAGAGACAATATGGCTATAGATGGTGTTCAAACGAGACTGTGCCTATGGTCACATTATAACGGGGCATTGACACTGATAGTATTAGGAAGCTGAAGCCACAAGAAGTCTGGACCATTTCGGTTCCCAGTTCCATTGCGTGACTTCATGATGTACAAACTCACCCTCCCAATGTCATGATGCCGCACTCTCGTCTGTTTTTTTGGCATCAGCCCATCATCGAATCATGTTCGAAACTGAAAATTTGAAACGGATCTTGAGTTCCGTTCCGCCAGTTGGATTACAAAGTTGTAAACACCCGCCTTCAAAGCGAATGTTCCATTGCGCGCCAGCCGCCGGGGATGGGGCGCCAAAAAAAAGCTGGCTGTTTCATGCCCTTCAAAGTGGCAGCCACTTTGGTCTCGAGGATCATTTGGCCTCGTCGTTTCACAGCACTAACCCCAAAATGAATCAAATGACAATCATTTCCAACAGGAACATATTCTAACTTCTAACCTAGTACCCAATAATATCCTACCACCTACTACTACTACTACTACTCCTCCTCCTACTCCTACTCCTACTCCTACTCCTACTCCTACTACTACTACTACTACTACTACTAACTACCTACTACTAACTACCTACTACTAACTACCTACTACTAACTACCTACTACTAACTACCTACTACTAACTACCTACTACTAACTACTAACTACTAACTACTAACTACTAACTACTAACTACTAACTACTAACTACTAACTACTAACTACTAACTACTAACTACTAACTACTAACTACTAACTACTAGGCTGGGCGCGCGCAGAAGGCCGCGTCACGAAACAGTGTTTTTGCTAGTTCACTGCACTGGCGCCACAGCGAGAGCGCATTTTTTCCTTTTTTTTAGCGTTTCGCCCCAGTGAAACCTTTTTTTGTTGTTTTTTTTGGCGTGGTGTTGGTTGGGGGGGTGGGGGGTGGGGGGTTTTTTCTTTTTGTGGGGGTGGGGTGTTAATAAGTCTTGCACATCTGGGATGTTATGTCATGAGATCTTTTCTTGGAATTCAACACATCTGGGATGTTGTGTCATGAGATCTTTTCTTGGAACTCAACACATCTGGGATGGTACGTCATGAGATCTTTTCTTGGAATTCAACACATCTGGGATGGTACGTCATGAGATCTTTTCTTGGAATTCAACACATCTGGGAGGGTACGTCATGAGATCTTTTCTTGGAATTCAACACATCTGGGATGGTACGTCATGAGATCTTTTCTTGGAATTCAACATCTGGGATGGTACGTCATGAGATCTTTTCTTGGAATTCAACACATCTGGGATGGTACGTCATGAGATCTTTTCTTGGAATTCAACACATCTGGGATGTTATGTCATGAGATCTTTTCTTGGAATTCAACACATCTGGGATGGTACGTCATGAGATCTTTTCTTGGAATTCAACACATCTGGGATGGTACGTCATGAGATCTTTTCTTGGAATTCAACACATCTGGGATGGTACGTCATGAGATCTTTTCTTGGAATTCAGCACATCTTTTTCCTTGAATTTCCTGTTTTTTTGAAAACATAGAAAAGGAGATGATGCAACCTTGCATGAGCATGTGTCTTTAGAAGTGTTTCAATGAGCATGGAGAAACCATGCACTTTTGGAAAGAATCCAAGCGAGGTTCTCGAGCAACTGTCTCGACTTTTTGCAGATTAAAGGTGGATGAAAATAAAAGTCATGCACTGAAGTAAATACACCTGAAAGTGTCTCAACTGAAGTAGTTTTTTTCGACGTCAAAATATGACACGCCAAGATATGAACATGGACATGTGAAGCTGTACATGCATTTCGAATGGCCAGCGTGGAGGATTTGCCATATCACCATTCATACATTTGTGTCAAAACTGAGATGAAAGTGCACGAAACCATACGGCCATCTATGAGTAACTACTAACTACTAACTACTAACTACTAACTACTAACTACTAACTACTAACTACTACTACACTATACTTATACTATATATATATAACTGTGACGCACCGCCATGTTTTGCTTCCTATGTGCCTTGGGACGTTGGTCCCTCAGTGTCCACCAAAGCGTTCAATTTGAGCCGATTCTCATCTGTTGCTTGTTGAATGGAGAGAGCCCTCAATCAACCAGTGGGAAAGGACGTCTATGGTATACCTGGTATAACTACCCCCAAGGCCCAACATTTACCGCGGCTGCCCCCAGGTACCTTCAAGCCCAGCATCTTCAGAACCCAGCCGCCGTTGCCCTTGGGGTTAAGGGCCGCAGCACAAAAAGACTTGAAGATTCTCAATAAAAACAGAGCATACGTGAGTATATATGTTACATTAATGTATACGTGCTACAGAGTGTATATACATATCATGTGATATATGAGAGTGTAGTATGTATGTATATATATACATATCATGAAATATTATGTTATGTAAGCATATGAGGGATGTCAACTCAGCCAATGTGCATATGACCAATCGCCAATGGATTGGTGTGAGACTCTTTCCATTAGCTCCATGGATTCGTATGATAGATTGTGACGATTTCTATCAAAATCGACTTAAGTAAACCTCCTCTTCAGCTTTTCGCTTCTGGACTTCTGGTTCATACTCATTTTGGAAGCTCAAAACCTTAGTTGTTGCGGGCTCACATCCCCAATTTTGCAATTAAACATGCTTTGCAAGTCAAATCCTCACTTTTCTTGGTCTATGCGTTAGAGATGGACAGACACAAACACAGAGACAGACACAGATCAAGATACATAGACAGGTAGATACAGATATCCATCAAGATATATCTGTAGACCGCTCAAGTCACCTATTCATCTCATTTGTTGAACCTTCAACGAACCCGGCACCGCCTGATGCTCCAAAAGCTTCATCGAGGTGACCTGGTGCGCTGAGTGTCAATGGATTTATGTTGGATCTATGGTTGAAACCACGGCTTTTGCCCAAATGTAGAGGTTTCCCGTAGAGAAAAATCCCTTGAAATTACAAGATGTAGTAGGTAGACATAGGATTGCTTGACAAATCTGTGTCCTTGTTCAGCCCAAAACTGAGGAACATGCATATAAATAATTTATCCAGAAAGGGTATGGCTGACAAACCCGATACCCTCAGCCAAACATATTAAACATCCAACTAGCTGGCTGAACCCTTGTGGAATGTCATGGATCTGGGCCAAATTTGGGGGTTTCCATACATGGTTGCTTTCATCATCGACAGTACTGCAGAAAAAGTACTATATATATATACAGGATATATATTACATTTGCCCTTAGACTACATGTTTGAATGTTGTGATATTTAGGTGGATATGGAAGTACGGGTACAACTACAAAAGAAAATGTCATAAATTGAAATAGGCAAAGTGGGAAGACTGAATCAAAACATAATCGTCAACAAAGCTGGGGATGTCCAAAGATTTGGGAATACCCCAAAAAACCATCTGATTGATTGTGTCCAAGTTGTTGGTCAAACCAATAAGTCATTCAACGTCGGCCCTAAAGAACACCAGTTGTTGGTCCGGGTTACAGCACCTCTTTGAAGGAACATTCTGATGCCAAATTCCCAAAGTTGGCTGAAGGGACCATTTACAGGAATCCCCCCTTTGGAGTTGGAGGGTTTGCTAACCATTGTTTCCTGAAGTCCACAAATCAGGCACGGAAATTTATGCTCTGAGAGTCCGGACGTACCAAAAGGTTTCCAACCAAGGTATCAAGAAGTGCTCTTTGGAAAGATCTGCATATGGTGCTAGACACAAATAGAAGCCCCAGACCTGACTGCTGGGAAGGTCACCATACCCAGCCCGGGTTTGAAGGGATGGTTTTGTGAAACTCCAAGTTTGTTTTTCATGCAAAGCCAGTTGAAAAATTGAAAAATCCTCGGGAGAAACATTTGCTGAAAGATGGCGTGTGTGTATATATATATATATGTATGGTCCATATGTTCTATGAAAAAACAGGACACAGTTGTTCACTAGACCATCTATATGTATCCGAAATCATGGGTCTCCCCAGGATTGATGTGATGGTCACATGGACATATACTGTGTGCATGATCATGTTCATGTGTATGCACCTATGTGTATACGTATGTGTATATATATATATGTGTATATATATATATGTATATATATATATGTATATATACACATGTATAGCAACCCCCAAATAGATAGAAAAGATGGATACAATGAAATTATAAGGCGAATTTCATCTATACCATCCTGGAAGCACGGTTATATCATTTTTGGGTTACTATATGTTACTATATATGTACATATATATATATATATATATGTTCAAATATATATATATACATATATATATATATATACATATCACATATTATATAATAACTAGTATATATCATGGTTATATGTTATATGATCAAATATATATATATATTATATATTAAATATTATAGTAAATACTATATGTTATATTATATATATATTATATATCATATATTATATATGATATATATTAAAAATGATATAAATTATATATATTATATATATTACATATATTATATATTATATATATTATATATATTATATATTATATATATATTATATATATTATATATATTATATATATTATATATATTATATATATTATATATATTATATATTATATATATTATATATTATATATATATATTATATTATATATATATTATATATTATATATTATATATTATATATTATATATTATATATATTATATATATTATATATATTATATATATTAGATATTAGATATTATATATATTATATATTATATATATTATACATATTATATATATTATATATATTATATATATTATATATTATATATATTTTATATATATTATATGTATTAGTATTATATATATAGTATATAGTGTATATATAGTATAAAGTATAGAGTTTATATAATATATTATATATCATATATTATATATTATATATCATATATTATATATCATATATTATGTGTTGTATATTATATTTTATATATTATATTATGTTTCATACTATATATGATATATTATACTATGTTTCATATTATATCTTACATATTATCTTTTAGATATATATATATATATCATATATGTATGTGTCACACTTTTTGTTATATATTTTAAAACATTTAAATATTTAGTATTGTAAATTCTATATCATATATTATGTATTATATGTTATATATTGTATAGTAATGTATAATATAATATTTATATAATATTTATAAATATATATATATATATTATATTCACATAGGGATTTAGATATAATCACACAATATTCATTCACCTGATGCGACAAACCATAAGCCATGCTTGGAATCCCTCAAATACTCGTGGAGATTTAACTTCCAAGCTGCAGAGCAAATGACGCCCCAATACCTCAGCGGCCGCTACAGCAAGATCATCATGATGATGTTCTTTAATCGTACTGATCGGGTGCAAATCTCGAAGAGTGAAGGCGTTCACTCCCCAATCAATAGCAAATCAACATTAAACCCACAAAATTTGGTTGAACATTAAACCCACAAAATGGTGTGTCGGCTTCCAAGATGATTTGTTTACATAAATAAACAGTATCCAAGTGCGAAGTTCCCAGAAAACCATCGAAAATCTCTGTTATTTCCACCCACAACCAGCTAGTAGGACAGAAAATCAAGCATCCACCAAGAAAAGGGGTCTATTCTAGGGCATCGCTCAGATGAGACATCAACCCTGGATGTGCATTCCACTTAGGGTTGGTCGGTTGCAAAGTACCGAATTTATTGCAACCGGGAGATCTCATAATTATATCAGTAGGTTATGACGGTTATGACATGTTGAAAACCTCCATCCCCTATGACTATACTAGTTTCCCCACAAAAAGGCTCAGTTCATGAAGTTCACAGTATCCCAGGTCGCATAGCTCCCACAACTTATCATCTTCGGATTCCTGGCGCCTGGCTGCCGAGCCACTGCGGATCGCTGATGCCGATGTTGTACGGAAAGGCACTGGCCCAGGGCCTTGGAGTCCCACCATTGATCGATTTTTTCATAGATATTATATGTCCAAAAAATTTTAGATATTATATCCTATTTATATTTATAATATCTATAATATCTATTTATATCGATTTTTTCATAGATATTATATAGATATGCAAATAGGGGATGTCCCAGTCTGACATGTTTGATTCCCGCAAAGTATTGAGATCATCCGATATGGTGCATGGAGAATCTTCCATTCAGCTCGCCAGTTTGAGTTGCAAAATCTTCGAAGACTGGCGAATCGAATTAGAAAGGTAAGGCTGGAGGATCAAAGTCTTTCATGTGTTTTCAGGTTATCAGGTTTGATCCACTCTATATGGTTGTTTCATGTTGTTTCAACTCTTGGTACTACTGGAAGCCGCAGACGTCGGTTCTGAATGCCATGTTTTGCGGGAGCGATGGCGCCGAGTGTAAACCTTCCGGGGATCGATACGTTGACCCTTAAATAGCTCCATCGAATTGGACTGCCCACTCAGGGATCATAGATGTACGCATACGTATACATATATATATATATAAAATACAATACCCTGGAAGTCGGGGACCTCTTCTTTTGGGGTCCTCGGAATTGCTTTGAACTAGGACCTCAAAAGTCCATCCTCGGCAATACTTCACAACCATCACTTTTGGGGTCCCGGACCCTAAAAGAAATGACCACTCAGGATCCCAAATCTTGCTGCTCTTGGCTTATTTGAGCGGTTGACCATGGCCGCGATAATATATATATATATATATAATATCATGATATATCCAAAATCTGTGAATTCGAATGGACAGAACTTTTTGAAATGAAATTGTTGGGTGCTCCAATTGCTTTGATTAGGCTATCCAATTGGGTTACTGGGATGCATGTTCTTTTCTATCATTGCCAATGCTAAGAAAACACAGGGCCATGTATTGGCAGGAATGATGATTAACCGGTTAATATTTACCAAAATTTGAAGCCGAGAGAAATCGAGAGAAATCGAGAGAAGTCGAGAGCGGGTGCTATGTAGGACCCTAAAAGTTCACTCGGAGACCCTAAAAGTTCACTCGGAGACCCTAAAAGTCAACTCGGCAGCCATAGAAAATCGAGAGAAGTCGAGAGAAATCGAGAGAAATCGAGAGGAGTGATTTTCAAACCCATATCTAATCATCACTTTTTGGAAATACTCTGACGGTCCATTATCTACACAACACGCATTGCTTAGGGATGATGTGCTCAGATTTTTCTACTGCGCCTGGGTTGCATACCTTCAGCCTGACTGATATGGAAAAGCTAAATGCCTAGGCGCAAAAGCGTCACCAGTAAGCTTGGATGCCAAAACTCGAGAGGAAAATCAATAGCTGCTGGAAGTTCAATGGGGTTGGAAGTTTTGAGATGTTATGATTACTCGGCGCCTCGGCGCGTGGATTCTCGGCATTGTTAGGGATCGCTCGGCGAAATTGACTTTTGGGGTCCCCTCGGCAAGGACCTCTTCTTTTAAGGCCTTTTGACTTTGAGGGATATATATATATATTATATATAATACTATATATATATATATACAACATGTGTGTAAATCCGCCCACACCGCTTTGGCGGTGAAGGCGTGCTTATTGGGGGGCAAAACAGCAACACTAAATGCTCAATGACATTTGTTAATATAGCAGTCGCTATATCAGCTTTAGCTGGGGGGGGGGCCAAAAACGGTTTCGCACCGAGACCAGAATACGGTGGTGTTTTCGACATTTTTCGAGGATTTTTGGGTGTCTGAGCGCAAGAGGGTATTGAAATTGAATTTTGGGTCATTTTGGTAGCTTTCCGGCAATGGAAAAACGGCCAAAAATGAAAAAAACATTGTACATAGCAAGATTTTGCAGGGTTTTTGGATGCCAGAGCATTGAAAACACTGCAAAAACAAGTGTTTTGGACTGACGTTATAGCAAAAAACGTGTAAATTACCGTATGCTTGACTGGAAACATTACAAAAACACTGTCAAAAGCAATGTTTTGGAAGGATTTACTGCCTTTATGGCAAAAAACGTGTAAATTACCGTCTGTTTGACTGGAAACATTGGAAAAACACTGTCAAAAACAATGTTTTGGAAGGATTTCTTATATATATGTTGGAGTTGGCTACCGGCATTGGAACATGGAAAAATTGAAGAAAACACTGTAAATAGCGGTATTTTCAACGGTTGGGGAGATAAGGGAATTGGAAGCATTGTCGAACATGATGTTTTCGACCGGTTTTATGGCGACAAAAGTGTAAAGTACCGTGCTTTGAAGGAAACCATTGCAAAAACATGGAAACACATTCAAAGAACACGGGATTTGGGGACTATCTAGGCGTCGTTGTCTAGCTATTTGAAATTCCGCAGCTTGGAGAGCCTCCAAGGGAGGGAAAAGTGAAAATTCCATAGCTTGGGAAGCTGTCACGGCGGGGAAAAGTGAAAATTCCCTAGCTTGGGAAGCCCCCACGGGGAGGAAAAGTGAAAATTCCCTAGCTTGGGGAGCCCCCACGGGGGGGAAAAGTGAAAATTCCCTAGCTTGGGGAGCCCCCACGGGGGGGAAAAGTGAAAATTCCCTAGCTTGGGGAGCCCCCACGGGGGGGAAAAGTGAAAATTCCCTAGCTTGGGGAGCCCCCACGGGGGGGGAAAGTTAAAATTCTTAGCTTGGGGAGCCCCCACGGGGGAAAACCACCCTTAGCCCCTCTCACGGACCTAAATAAACCTGCGGTGTGGGCGGCCACCCCACGAAGCGGGGTGAATTATGTATGTATATATATATATATATATGTGTGTGTGTGTGCGTCATTCTGAATCATAGCGACAAGAAATGACCGTACACCCACCATGCTAGGGAAGCCTTGCTCCTTGAGACCAGCCACACTTCATAGCCCAATTGGGATCCATAGTAAACCTCGGACAGGCATGGCTCGGACCAAAAGTCGGCTGGAAGTAGCTCCTCAGGGATAAATAAAGATGTGCTGGCTGCATCCCCAAATGTTTCTTGGCTGCAAAAATAGGCGGGTCAAGTCAAAACTCGAAAAACGCGTGGCCCCCAACACCGTGGGTTTTCACGCATCCCGGGCAAATCTTCGATCGTCTACTCGTCTACTCAAAAACTATGTGTTTTTGCTTGTCCAAAACAATGCCAGAAAAATACCAAACAAATACCCAAAGAAACACAACTCCAAAAATACACCCCAAAAAAACCCAAAAAAAATATGGGAGAAAAAAAACACAGATTCGCCTACCCTTCACCTGTCGACATTGACTACCGAGCCACGCCCTTGGCGCCGATGGTTTTGAAGGTGGCCGTGTTCAACAGCTGCCCCAGGCCCACCAGTGCCAGTCCCGGACCTGAGTCCAGTACATGCGGAAAGGTCAACACCACTGGGAAGTTCGTGACATGTGGAAGACACTTATGTTTATATAATTTTAAATGCGTCACTAAGTAGATATCTTTATATATACATATGTCGTTACAGTTCTATGTTATTTATATATACACACTAACTACTTATATATATATATATATCACTTTGTGTATCTGTATTGTCTGTATGTATTTAAAAAACAGATGAAACTGATACATGTGTCTACTAATTACATGTGTTACAAATGTATGTGTGTGTATGTGTGTGTATGTGCTTTTCTGTATGTGTCCATTTAGCACATACGTCCCTCTTTATGCCACTGCTCCCGTCTGAAAATCCCAGCTGCAGTGCCCAGTGCTATATTTTTTTCTGCGTGAGTTGGTGCTTCATAATCCTTACAAAATTCAGGCGCTGCGCGCTGCATTTCCCAACCGCCTCTGCGCCGCGGTCCACGTTGGGTCCTTTTCAACCCACGGCCGCGGCGCGACCGCGGCGAAGAAGTTCAGCGCAGGGTCGGAACTCAGGCGGTGAGTTCCTTACTCTTCTTGGCCACGAAGTTGTAAGCCTGGGAACTTGGCTGGTGATGATGATGATGATGATTATTATTATGATTCTGATGATGATGATGATTATTATTATTATTATGATTCTGATGATGATGATGATGATTATTATTATTATGATTCTGATGATGATGATGATTATTATTATTATTATTATGATTCTGATGATGATGATGATGATGATGATTATGATTATTATTATGATTCTGATGATGATGATGATGATTATTATTATTATTATTATGATTCTGATGATGATGATGATGATGATGATTATGATTATTATTATGATTCTGATGATGATGATGATTATTATTATTATGATTCTGATGATGATGATGATTATTATTATTATGATGATTCTGATGATGATGATGATTATTATTATTATTATGATTCTGATGATGATGATGATTTTTATTATTATTATGATTCTGATGATGATGATGATTATTATTATTATGATTCTGATGATGATGATGATGATGATTATTATTATTATTATGATTCTGATGATGATGATGATGATGATGATTATGATTATTATTATGATTCTGATGATGATGATGATTATTATTATTATTATGATTCTGATGATGATGATGATTATTATTATTATTCTGATGATGATGATTTTTATTATTATTATGATTCTGATGATGATGATGATGATGATGACGACGACGACCCAACATGGCCGTGTTATGGGAAAATATGGTTCCAATCCATCGGAAGTGCGGGTGTCCTATTTTGCAGACAAACCCATTTGAAGATCGCTCTGGCCCATGAAAGAAGAATGACTACACCAACCGTCTCAGCCTGTTCCAACGCCTCAGGTGAGTCATTTCAGCAAGTACCCTGAAAATTAACAGCTAAGTGGTCACAAAAAATGATCAGAAAGGCATATGAGTCTGTCCGGAAATTTGGGTATACTCCCCAATTTCGAAGTGATAAACTACTGGATTTGGGGGTACCATATTTGGAGACAAATCCATATTTCCATATGTTCATAATTTCAGCTCAGTTTTGAATCACCTGACCTATTGTAGCAGGGACTATATCGTATAGGACCCATAAATTATCATGGGCCATGTCCGACAGATGGGTGTAGCCCACTTGCTCGCGGAGAAAAAGGGGTGCGTTACGTAGACTGTATATAGTGGCTGCAACCCACTCTCCCAACCACTTCTAAACCTCACATATATCTACATAATATATCCATATCATCTTCATGATAGAGTCTGCCTGCATTTAAGCCCATCCACTTTCTCTATTTCTTGCCCTTGCCAAAGCCTGTTGTCGCCCTGCCTTCAGGCCGTATTCACCGCCCTTTTTGCCAAAGTCATTCAGAGTGGTCACGTACTCCGCAAACTGCTTCGTGGACCTCACAACTCACAGCTGGACCGAGATGTTGATCCCCTAATTGGGCCAATATGTTCTTATCCCTAAAAAAATTAACTCAGGTGCTATCCCCAACAGCTTGAAAGCTTCTGCGTTTTTGCCATAAAAAGTGCTTATGCCATAAAAATTAAGCGCTAATGCCATAAAAAAAACATCGGAACCCTTTGGAATGTCACAAAGCATCTGCACCAGAACCCTCCGGAACCTCACAAGGAATCTGCACCGGAACCCTCCGGAACCTCACCAAGCATCTTCTCTGCCAAAACCCTCCGGAACCGGTCTCTGCACCGGAACCTTCCAGAACCTCACAATACCCTCCGGAACCTCACCACGCATCTTCACCTAGACCCTCCGGAACCTCATCACGTAGCTGCACCTGAAACTTCTGGAACCTCACAAGGTACCTGCACCAAAACCCTCTAGAACCTAACCAAGTATCTGCACCGTAACCCTCTGGAACCTCACCGTGCACCTGCACCAAACTTCCGGAGCCTCACAAGGTATCTGGACCGGAACCCTCCGGAACCGCACAGAACCCTCCGGAGCCTCAGCAGGTATCTTCACCGGAACCCTCCGGAACCTCACAAGGTATCTGCACCGGAACCATCCGGAACCTTGTCCGGAACCTGGTGTTGAAGCTGCACCGGATCGCACCGGAGCTAATCTGGGCTAAAGACCCCATAGCAAAGTTTTGCTGTTGGGGAAAAAACACCCAGACCCAAGAAATCATGTTTTTTGTTGGGTATGAAAACATATATTTGGGACCACGTAGGGATATGATTATAGGTTCACCCTGCTGCGTGGGTACTGCACCCCAATTTTTGACGGGCGGAAAGGGCCGAGAACTACAGTAACTACAGATTGCAAACAGGTTGAGGGAGAATGGTTTCCTCCCCCAAGATGCAGGGCCATCACGTAGAGAAAGGCTGGTTTAGCAGTAGACCCAACCATTCCGATTGACTTGGACTGGGAAAGATTGTAAGTCGCAAGAAAATATGTCGGGCTTTGGAAATCCCACCTAAATAGATATGTTAGTTTAAACATCCCCCATCCTTCCCTTATTGGGTCCCATTTGGGAAGGCCTATTGTTCGGATGAGATTCTACCCTCCAGGTTGCTTGGTTTTAAAACCCCAAGCCTTGTCGCTTAAAAGCAAACATCTTTGTTCCTTGAATCGCCAGGAAAATCCCCAATGATCTTTGTATTGGTGTAACCCTATCTTTGTAATTTATATACCTAGCCAATAACGTTGAGATCCAAAACATTAGCTAAACAATTGTTTTATTGATTATTTTCTTTTATGATTTTTTATGAATATTTATGATTTTTAGGATATGATTTGAAAAAAATTGTGAAAAATGGATATGATTTTTTATGATTTTTTTTTAAATTTTTATGATTTTTTTTTATATTTTTTATGATTTTTTATGATTTTGTTTATGATTTTTTTATGATTTTTTTTGTTTTTTCACTTGTTTTTATGTGTTTTTAATGATTTTTTTATGATTCTTTGAAAATGATTTTTTTAAATGAAATTTTATGATATTTTTATGAAAATTTATGATTTTTTATGAAAAATATGATTTTTTATGATTTTTATGGTTTTTTTTTAAAAAGTTTTTTATGGGTTTTTATATTTTGAAGAATCTTATGATTTTCTTATGTTTTTTTTCTAATTTTTATCTTATTTTTTTAATGTGCTTTAATATGTTTTGATTTTTTTGGTGTTTTTATACGGATTTTTGTGATTTTTTAATGATTTGTTATGATTGCATTATGATTTTTATGAATTGTATGATTTTTGTTTTTTTGATTTTGTACGTTGTTCATGATTTGTGTTTTGTAATGTTTTTGAATGATTTTTTTCAATGTTGTTTTTTGTCTTTGTTAATGTTTTTTTAAATTGTTCATGTGTTTATTTTTATCTTTAACGTCGCCAGGATTTGGCCAATAATGGTTCTAGGCCCAAAGGCCTGTGGTAAGAAATTTTGTTTGATGTCAAATCCATAGAAACCAAACGCCATCATGTTCCTAAAAAAACAGTTCAGAGTTTTGTTCATGGGTCCAGCTTTGTGCTGGGCAAGGTGCATCATCAGTTCAAAATTTGTGACCTATCCGAAGGCTAGTTTCTTTTCTCGGTATTCACTTCTTTAATGCCAGCTGCCCGCTAAGTCACAAAGGTCTCAAGCCTGAGGCCTAAAGCCTAGGGCCTCAAGCCTGGAACTTAAGGCCCCAGATCCGAGATTCTAGAGCCTCAAGCCTGAGCCTAAGGCCTCAGGTCCGAGATTCTAGAGCCTCAAGCCTGGAGCCTAAGGCGTCAGGTCCGAGATTCTCTAAGGCGTCAGGTCCGAGATTCTAGAGCCTCAAGCCTGGAACTTAAGGCCTCAGGTCCGAGATTCTAGAGCCTCGAGCCTGGAGCCTAAGGCCTCAGGTCGGAGATTCTAGAGCCTCGAGCCTGGAGCCTAAGGCCTCAGGTCGGAGATTCTAGAGCCTCAAGCCTGGAGCCTAAGGCGTCAGGTCCGAGATTCTCTAAGGCGTCAGGTCCGAGATTCTAAAGCCTCAAGCCTGGAACTTAAGGCCTCAGGTCCGAGATTCTAGAGCCTCGAGCCTGGAGCCTAAGGCCTCAGGTCGGAGATTCTAGAGCCTCGAGCCTGGAGCCTAAGGCCTCAGGTCGGAGATTCTAGAGCCTCAAGCCTGGAGCCTGGGACGTTGCTTTCCTGAACCAATCCATAAAAAAATTATAAAAAAAAACATAAAAAATCATTTTAAAAAATCATAAAAAAAAATCATAAAAAAAATAAAAATCATAAAAAATCATTAAAAAAATCATTAAAAAATCAAAAAAAAATCATAAAAATCACACAAATCATAAAATTGATCATAAAAAAAAACGTATGTATTTAGTTTTATGATTTTTTATGATTTTTTATGTTTTTTTTAATGATTTTTTATGCTTTTTTAATGTTTTTTTTTTATGATTTTTTTATGAATTTTTATGACCCCTTAAGGTAGTGAAGGTAGTGAAGTGTTTCAATACTGACTTTCCCTGTTTGGCCTAAACATGTTTCCTTCCCAGGTTTTTCATCACACAGCATAGGTTTAGTCAGTTGCCTCCTTACAGCAAATAGTTGCTCAACAAATTTTGTCATAGCAAAAAAAAATCAAGTTTACTGCTGCTAACTAGCTGTTAGTTGCTAGCTGCCAGTTGTTGCTTGTTGCTAGCTAGCTGCTTGCTAGCTAAGCTACTCGCAGCTAGTCACTGGTTGTCGTTAGTTGCTAGTTGCTAGTTATTTGTTGCTAGCAACTGGATGCAAGTTACTTGCTGGCCACTAGCCCCGGAAAAAATTGTGACACTGTTCGTTGACCAACTAGCCCCAACATTGGCATCGCCCTGCCCCCCCCCCCCCACACACACACACACCACATAATTTGTTTTTTTGTTCGTAAGTCATCACTGACACCTCACTGCCTGCCATCATGCAGCAGTTGGTGCAGTTTGAGATATCTGCAAAATTTGCTGTTCAATTCGTTTTTCGCTCACCAGTGGTCAAAAAACCACCAATCCTAAAGCCAACGCCAAAATAAATTTAAATAAATAAATGCAAAGTCAATGTTTGTTCAATGTTCTCCATGTGTGTGAAATAAAAAAACGTTGTTGTTTGTTTGCTGTTCTCCATGTGTTTGAAATATTAAAAAAAAACATGCAAAGTTATTGTTCGCTCAATGTTCTCCAGTCAGTTATTTAGAAAGGAAAAACAAAAAAATAAAAAATCAAACACAACATCATAAAAAAAGAAAAAGACATAAAAATCATCACAATCATGAAAAAACAAAATAAATTAAATAAAAAAACATAGAAATTGTCATATTTCATAAAACACAAAAACCATTTTTTCAAAATCATAAATACAATCATATATATTTCTCATAAAAAAACATGTTTTTTCATAAAATACAAAAAAAATTAAAACATCATAAAAAAAATCAAAAAAAAAACATAAAAAAAAAACATATTGTTTCATAAAACACAAAAAGCATTTTAAAAAATCATAAAAAAAAACATAAAACAAACCGTTTAAAAAAAACCATTTTTTCATAAAAAAATCATAAATTTTCATTAAAAAAAATCATTTTCAAAAAATCAAAAAAACATAAAAAAAACATAAAAAATATATATAAAAAAACGAAAAAATCATAAAAAAAAGAAAAATCATAAAAAATCATAAGCTGTTTTCAGGCAAAAAAACAAATCATAAATTTCATCATAAAAAATTATATTTTTTCATAAAAAAAATCATAGTTTTTTATAAAAGAAATTAATTTTAAAAACCAATTGTTTAGCTTACTCCCGGATCTCAACAATAACGCTTTGGTATATAAACTACAATTAAATTGTCAGTTTCTATTCTTGGGTACATGGTTAACCCCATAGTGTTATCCTTGCCAGAAACACAAAACGTCCTATCTCTGATTTCTTCAGGAGACTCAGACTTCTCGACGAAGCTGAGCAAGCCGCCGGTGGAGAGGCCCCAGCCTGGGGAGCACTTATCTCAAAGCATTTTGTCATCACATCGGTCCACCTATTTCCGGTTGTTCTGTCCAAATGTTCATGATTTCCTCCCATCTTCTGAAACCCTCAAAATCACCCTTCCAATAGATGTAAGGGAAATTCGTCCATGTGATCATTTCATATCATTTCGACATACCGGGAACCCGGTATTGACATATCACCATTTTTTCCACCCAAACTCGGAAAACTCGTGACACGTCAACTCCGCAGATCCTGCTGCAGCCAGGATCAAGCCAAAGGTGAAGCCGCCCAGAAACGGCGTCAGGAGACCCAGGATGAACCAGAAGACCTAGCGCGGATCGCACATGGGGAAAGAAATGACATAAATAGTAATAAGGTCCAGTATAGTAATAGTAGTAATAACAATAGCAACAATAGTAATCATAACAACAATATTAATATTGATGATAATAGTAATAATAATAATGATAGTAATTGGTAATTAGTCATTAGTAATAATAATAGTAGTGATGATGATGATGATGATGATGATACTAATAATGATAATGATAATAACAATGACAATGATAATGATAAAACGGATGGCTAGGTGGCAAATGATCTTTGTTTTACAAACGGGGCTATACCCCCAGCTCAGCTCATCGCTGCACCGCTCACGAATGGTAGGATTCATGGTTGGTGCCCTCCATGGGCCAGTTGACTGAGAGTCCCATTTCGTCACTACCAATATCGCCATGGCCATAATCACTGCCACAGCGGTTGTTGCCGCCATCAACTTCCAGAAAAACTTTGAATGACTCTGGTCCTATGGACCTGAATTGGTCTTCATCGAAAATGGTCAATTTAATGGTCAGGGACGTGTTTGAGGGGCAGTTTTCATTCATTTTAAGCCAAAAATACCCAAATCCCTGAAAATTTGCCCAAAATATCCAGTGGCACAAATGCTAAGCCCAAAACAATGGAAGCACTGCTCACGTTCGCGTCGTTCTCCTGTGCAGCTGCGTCATGCATGCAGGCATGTAGTAGGCATGGAGGTATGTTGGTACTCTAGGTAGGTAGGTAGGTAGGTAGGTATATATATATATGTATATATATGTATATGTATATATATATGTATGTATGTATATATGTATATATGTATATATGTATATATGTATATATGTATATGTATACATGTATATACGTATATATGTATATATGTATATATGTATATATGTATATATGTATATATGTATATATGTATATATATATTTATATATGTATATATATGTATATGTATATATGTATCTATGTGTATATGTGTATATGTGTATATGTGTATATGTATATATGTATATATGTATATATGAATATATGTATATGTATATATGTATACATGTATACATGTATACATGTATACATGTATATATGTATATATGTATAGATGTATATACGTATATATGTATATATGTATATATGTATATATGTGTATATGTATATATGTATATATGTATATATGTGCATATATGTATATATGTATATATGTATATATATATATATATGTATACATACTCCCCCTTTGTATTCAGTCTCTGACCCGGGTGTCTGGATTCTTTAGTGGGACGCTCTGTGGCACAAGGCAAGATGCCCAAAGAATAAAACCCCTCAGCTGCAGGCACATGGAAGAGTCCCTAAAGAAGCAGAACCAGGAGCCACCAAAATCTATGAAGCCTAAAACATCAGATTCAGGAACACACCTCAACATAGCCAAACAATTGCCTAAAGAATCAGACACCATGGGTTCGAGTTGTAGACATCCCCCCTTATAAAGCCTTGAATATATTTTGGAGCTTTGGGTGGTTCTTAGGAAATCTACCCGCAACATTTTTTCACTAATGGTTGCTAGCCCCAAACATTCCCAACTACCAAATTTAAAACACCTCCACTCATTCCTGCTCGCTGATCTCAGTTCATTTTTGTTTTGGAATATTTCAGATATGTTTTGAAAGCGTCTACTGTTTGATTCTATTTTGAAGTGTTTCAAAAAGTCTTGGAATACCTTGCATTCTTTTTGATACCTGCGATGTGCTTCTTTTCTGGCCCATGTATCTCCATTGATGATTCTCTAAAAAATCAGGTCCTGCCCCCCGACACAGTGGATTTTGATGGATCTTCTTTGGCCTGTCGACCCTTCAAAACCTGGCAGTTTTTCACAGTTTGTAATATTTTGAACAGTGCCATTAAAGCCTCCCGACAGAGTGGGTTTTGAACAACGACAACAACAGAGCAAGCGGGTGACATCATGGGCAACAACAGCAACCCTTGGGACATCGCCGGTGTGCGAAGCCCTACAATTATTTATTATCTATTTACTTGTTTACTTATTTACATATTTATTCAATGTATATATATATATACATATCTATATATATACACATGTATATCTTTATTTAAATTTATATGTAAAGATCAATATTTATAGATAGTTATAGATAGATAGTTTTAGATAGATAG